TGACACACGCAAAGGACCCGACTGGATAGACAGTCACGCGGGGGGGGGGGCGCGAAATGTTTTCTTCTTCCTAGGGGGGGCATGACAGAAAATAATTGAGAACCACTGACGTAGGGCAAGATGATTGTTCCGTTATTCTTAAAGCAAATCATTATAGGCTCTAAATGGGCCCTTTAAACTTTTCAAGAAACAACGAGAAATCCTCTGTCATTCTTGCAAATCAATGTCACTTACTCCAAAACCACCAATCAAGACCCTCTCCTTTTGCATTTCGGACTATCTGAGGTTTCTGTTCAAGGGCAGCCTCATGCAGAATGTACCACGGCAGTGATGGTGAACTTTTTAGAGACCGAGTGCCCAAACTGCACCCAAACCCCACTTATTTATCGCAAAGTGCCAGGGCTGCATCAGCATTGTGGTGCCGCCTTCGTGGGGGGTGGTGGCGTGCGTGCCAATAAAGAGGGCTCTGAGTGCCGCCTCTGGCACGCATGCCATAGGTTTGCCACCACTATACTACGGTAATCCATTCTGGATATAACTGGCATGTGTTACTCTGGCTTTCCTGTGATCAAGCACATTTAACATATCACCCAAGCTCAAAAAAGGCACTCCCGAGTCCCAAGGTAACATTTCAGAAGCAAATCCAATTTCACGACTCTCGTCCCCAATAATACTGATTTTTCTATGTAGTGCTCATCCTGCAAAACAGCATGAACCCCTGATTTCTAAATCATCTGATCCTTAATAACATCTGTTTTAGTTCAAATTTCAGTTTGTTCTTCCTCATTCAGATTAATGTTTTCAAATATGTGACATTAACATTTTGTAATATTAAATACTGCACTTCCCTGTACGCATAAATGTTAACTGCGTAACTTCCCAGATTTTTTCTGGGCACAATCTTAGAAAGTCACCAGAAGAGAGAGAAGATACATAGAAAGACAGATTGGTTCTAAAAACAAAGGGGTGTGTGCTCTTAATTTCTTAAAACACCTCACACATTCTAAAATGCAAATACGATATATTCTAGATTTAGCTTCTATATTTTATAAGTTTTTATTTCTCGCATTTGCATTAAAAAGGACAAAGATGGATTTTACATTTAGAATATGTGATAACTTCATTCCAACAAAAAAGCAAGAATTCCAAATTTTAATATTTTTAATTACCTTCTCCCTAAACATTCTTAGCTGTCAAGTATAAAATATACATTTACTACTTTGGGGAGAAATAATTAAAAGATACAAAACACAAGCTCTCACTTGATTATGGTGGATCTATCTATACCAATTGGCATAGGTAATTTGGCACAAACATAAACGATGGCAACTCATGAAAAATATAAATCATGTTTCTACAACATCAACAAAAACTATGGCACTAAGAAGTCTTAGTTGTTCAATTTTTTTCCATAATCACTACATTTAAGGCTTTAACAACAATATAGTAAGAGCTATGTAGCAAAATTGCTTTAGAGTACTAGTTGTATGTTATTTGAGTTTTGATATTGAAAAACTTTCTCTGAAGCCTATTTACTTGCCTGTCTTGGCAATTTGTAAAGGAACTGTTTGAAAATTTAAGTTCAGAGTTTAAGTAGCATAATTTGTGCACATTTATAACCAATGAGTGTGAAAAGTAGGTTGGCCAAGCACTTAAGTAAATATTTAGAAATATAATAGTAAGTGATAATGAATGTAACTGAAATAGAATCCATATTTTTACTGGCCCACTTCACACAAAATGCTAAATCATAATACAGGTTGTTTTTGGCATAGTATGATATAAACTCACTCAAAAAAGTTAAATATATCCAAAGCACCATAGCTAGTTCAACCCAGCCTATTAAGAATGTACTTAAGTGTGAATCAGGTTATAGGAGTACACACAAAGCTATAATGTGGTGTTCCTAAGTTTGTTCCATAGGCATAATTATGATTTTTTTCAAGCTTCAATTAAACTATAGCTTAATATTATGAATGGATATTTTCTATAAGTGGAATTACATACTTTTCTAAGCCAGAATTTTCATGGTTTGATGTAGAAACTACAATTTGCTGGATTCACAGATAATAAATCAAAACCAAACAGATTGTGTTTTAACATGTTGTACATGTTAGACCAGCGGTTCTCAACCTGTGGGTCGGGACCCCATTTGGGGTCGAACAACCATTTCATGGGGGTCTCCAAACAACGCAGTCCGCCATTTTTTTCCTCTTTTCCTTAGCTGCACTACTCCCTTTTATTCTATTGGCTTTTGAAAGCCAATAGAATAGACTCTCTTGAATAGAGTCTAATTCGATTGGCTTTCAAAAGCCAATAGGAATTGTCCAGGCTGTCTCTGCCCTGCTGAGCCCGCCAAAAGTCCCATTGTGCAAACGGTGCTGCACCAGTTGAGTAGTCCTCAACTTACGACCGGTTGAGTAGTCCTCGACTTACGACCGGTTGGGGATCGCAGCATTAAAAAGGTTGAGAATCACTGTGTTAGACTATATCACAAAGTTTATCAGTGGTTTATTAAGCCATTATTTACTGAACTATTCACAATTGATTGGATTCATCTACTGTATGCTAAATTTTAATGCAGTCTCTTTGATTTTTGCTTAGCATGCTATACAAATATATGAACTGTGATTTGTAAATTTATCCTTTCCTAAGTAAACCCAGGCAGATAAAATCATACTTAACAAATGATAGTTTAGCATATGTTAACTTAGTACAGTAATTGATCACTTTTCATGACACAATAGTTGAACATTATCTGTGTTTAAAGCAGTCAGTTGTCATATGCCAATAAATTCACCCAAACCACAGGTAGAAATCGTTCGTCAATCTCTCTTCTTTTTAGTTAATATCTCAACAATTTTCTGGTGGCAGACCTTTCCCCCCCAACTTCTGCCTTTTTTTTCTGCAAATAACTACAAAGTAGTAGTGGCTCACAAAATCAGAATAGTTATATCTGAGGTGATGGAAGAAAATTTTTGCTACCTAAAAAGAACCCTATGGGCCTGCAAGGAGTTAAAAAACACAAAATATTAGCTACAGCTATGTTTCTACATTCAATTTCCTAGTGATGCAATAACCCTTTAACTATAACCTATAGTCCCAATACTAGTCCATACTACGGGTAAATCATATCTGCCTCTGTTTAACCAGTGAGAAATTATGCTACTAATTGTGGTTAATTATCTTTCAGCCAGCTCAGTTTCCACAGTTTGTGGAAATGGACATTTGAAACCAAGGTTTATAGTAATTTCAAAATCTGGTTTTTGCAAATTGAAAATAGGTCTAAGTTGGCATAACACATATGGCTTCAGCTAAGCCTCTGTCCCTGCTTAATGAGGTATGTGCACATGATGGGATAAAGTAGCAGTATGTAGATGCTCTTTAGTCTTTCTAGTGAGTTGCTAATCAATGCAAACAACATGTTTTCCTATTCTAGATTAATGACTTAAAAATAATATTGTAAATAGAGTTCCACTGTACTTCCAAATCAATAGCTTGGGAAACATTCCATAATAATTGTTAAAAGCCAGTTTCAACTTTCCTGATACAAGGAACAAAGTGGCAGAAAGGTCCTCATCTCTGCTTTCAAAGATCCCCAAACACTTATTATTAAACTTTCCATTTTACTATAGGTTTTGAAAACTATTTCCAAGACTAAGATTTACCTCAGAGATGCCCACTCAATACATCCATCATTTAAAAAATACTGACATAATCTTGGTAAGGATGCAAATGGATGTTTTTTGGACTTTGCAAAACCCTCATAAAATGACCTCTTGCATATTGTAGTGTTTATTACTATGAACTTTGAGGCATGCAAGTGTTCAGATAAACTATCAGAGTTTAAACCAAATTGAACTACTAACTTAAGCATACACAAGAAGCTAGGCCAGAGAATTAGAGTCTGTGTGTATCAGCAATGTATAAATAGGTACAAAATACGCAAAAAACAAATTGCAGAAAAACTGGGGCCAGTGACCATGGTTAATGTACAAAGTTAAAATAATACCTTAAAAGCAAGAAATGTGTTTTTATTCCACAGAAAGCCATGAGACTTAAGGGTAGGAATATAAAAGGGGGTGATAACATTCCATTTGAAATGAAGTAATTTGGGGAAAAAATTAAAAATGACCTATTTTAATTGTGTAGTATTGCTGTTTTTCTTCAGCCAAATCAGCACAAAATAGACATGGAGTGGTTTGCAGGGACAAGGCCGGAATCATAAGTAGAGATTTTATAAAGGGAGATGGAGAAGGTTAATAGAGGATAACCTCATCTGGCAGTTCTTCCTTGTTTTACTGAGCTCAAAAACACATTTTTACATTATCAAAAGAAATGAATTTATACTGCCTGGAAACACCTTTAGAAGCAAGCAGTGTAAACATCTGAATTCCCTTTTTAAGTAAGACATCAAAGAAAATATGTTTTTGCTTTGCAACTCCCCCATCAGCCTTTCAGAAATCAGGGGAGATCGGCTGGGGCTCTCCTTTGCTTTTACTTTGGAGATGGCGTGGGGATGGGGGGGGGAAATGAAATAGACGATGCCTTTACAACCGGAAAAACAAAAAAGCTACATATAATCACCCAACCCTGCGAATGATAACCTCCTCTCTTTACCCCCGCTCCCCAAAGCCCCCACCCCTTTTGCTGGAGAGGGAAAATCTATTCTAGAAGCCTGTAGAGATATGCGAAGAGATGGGGGTGGGGAAAGAATCTCCCAGCGTCCCCCCCACACACAACGATTAGAAGATTGTATATCATTTTATAAAGCTACATTGTATTCTGTAGACGTGCTCTGCAGACGCAGGAATAGAAGGCTGTTTGGGGGGGAAGAACTGAATTGAGGGAGCAGTGGAAAGAGATCAGTGCTACTACCCAAGGAGGGGGGACACGGTTCCCCTTCCCCCCAGTTTTTTTTCGCCCTGTCACAGCCCTGAGTTGCAGGTAGAGAGAGTTAAGAGATTTAAAGAGAAATTGCTACATTGTAACAAACTCACCGTGATGTTTGAGCAGCAGTCAGCGCGGGGTCTCCGAGACATCCCCGCACGGGCTCCGGAGGCAGGACCCTAGCAGGCACAGACTCATAGAGGGTCAGCTCAGTGCCTGATTGCAACGGACGAAGGTTTCCTCTGAAAAATTTAGAAAAAAAAAAAAGAAGAGGGGGAGAAAAAGCCGAGGCGGGGGCGGGGGGAAAGGTAAAAATACCGAGGGGCAGTTTTATTTTTACATTTTCAACGAAGCCTTTTTTTTACATAAAAAAAAATAACCACCTTCTCCCTCCTCCCACTCTGCCTCATTTGCATTTGCGCTGCCCCACCCCTCTGGCTCTTTCAAAATACGGTCGCCGCACGCGCGCACGCTCAAAAGGGAGCATTGTACCGAGACGTCGGCCTGGTTGTCAAGAAAGGCTGAATTAAAGGCACAGGCGCCGCCAGCCGAGCTTGCTGGGGGAGCGCCTCCGTTCGTCAACGTTGCGCCTTCCCGGCAGGCTGGCCTTCGCCTGACCTGAGCACGACGCCCGCGGGAGCGTTTCGGGGCGGCGAAAAGGGAAGGCCGAAACCCTCGTTTCCAGAAAGCTCTTGGAACAAATCGATGCGAAGAAAATAAGGAAGAAAAACCCTCAAGGACTGGGGGGAAAAAAATCTTCACCCAGCTAGGATCGGATTGCTTTACACACCATCGTTCGTTTTAACCCAGGGGTTCTCAACCTTGGCAACTTTAAGACTGGTGGGCTTCAACTTCCAGAATTCCTCAGCCAGCTTTGCTGGCTGAGGAATTCTGGGAGTTGAAGTCCACCAGTCTTAAAGTTGCCAAGGTTGAGAACCCCTGTTTTAACCCATCAACCCTAGGCGGGCTTCTGTTAGGGATCAGATTTTGAACTATGTAGGATCTGCTTAGAAATGAATATACATAGGATAACATGGAAACGTGATGGAAAACGGAGGAAGAGGCAACCCTGTGTGGGGCAGTTTACTTCCCCCAATTTGTGTTACCGTACATAAATCTTAAAGGGGGGGGGGATAGAAAGCTCCAAGTTTGACATTAAAGGGCCATATCCCTGCAGTTTTCTGGGCAGTGCTATAAAAATGGTTTGCCAAACCTTCAGGGATGTTTAGCTTAATCTCCAGCCCTGGGATATTTCCTAGTGGTCTCCTTTCCAACTGCCGTGTAGGCCCAAACGTAACTCTAAACCTGCTTTATTCTACTAAACATGCCAGAGGGGTTTTTAAAGTAGGTGCTGGTTTTATTTGCTGCTGATTTGAAGCAGACAAAAGCAGTTTATCTAGATCTTATAACCCAAATTGGGCCAAATGCAGTTAATTAAGCAACTGAACAAACTGATGTAATTAAGCATGGTTTACTGGAAACACACTAGTTGTGTTCAACTTCACTTGTTTGCCTGTGGATAATGTGCTCATTCAATTAACTTAATTTTGGCTTCACTGAACCCTGAACCAACTACACAAATTGAGTTTATAGTACTCACTAGTAGTTAGCTAAATAGTTGGTTTTGGGCTCTTCTAATAGGGATATAACTGTAGGTTTCACATTAAACAACAAAAATTCAATCACAAATGTTTGTGTGGGAGTAAATTCCACTGAAATAAACAAGATATTCTGAACTGGATTGCAGGTTAGAAGCACCCAATAAATAAATATGGATGTCTACACATTGTGCCAGACAATAGTTTGTTTGAACATAACTACAATGACTGGATTCACATAATACATTAAACCAAACAAATTATATTTGTTTTAGCATGATGCATGAGTCCATCTGCATGGTATTTGGCTTAATATATTCATGAAAATAGCCTTAAAAAAACCCTACATAACCTACTCTCTGTTGATTTACTACATATTGTTTTATCCAAATACAGTATCAGTTCTAATAAGTTTTGTGCTTGGTAAAGTCTAAAACCAATGCATCTTTCCAGAGGACAAAGTACTATGGTGTAAAGTAAGGTGTATGTAAATGTCCGTATAGGACAGCAGGTATAGCACCTAATCCTAAACAGATTGACCAGAAAATAAATCTGACGAATAAATAAAATCTAATCCAATGAAATGTTATTAGTTTGGGAAAATTGTTCAAGTGCTCCAAAGACATGAGTCTGGCTATTTAGAACAACGCAATTGTGTTTATTGTTGAACAATGTAGATAAGTACTACAGCCTCAACGCTTAACATTTCTAACCTATTATAAATGTGTGACTAGGTCACTACTACCTATTACTGAAAGACACACAAAGAAAGTTGATTTTGTATAATCGTGGATTCACAGTATTTGGCAATGCTGTTACCAGGTCATTTTCTGCACGAATCTACTGTAAAGGAAACACTTCCAAGTTTTTATAACTTAGCACCCAAACAAAATAAAATGTAGTATCTCGCTTTTATAACCAGCAACTTAAGCAAAAGCAATGAAGACAGCACTCATTACTGTTCTGCAAACAAATTGAAATCATCAAAGTAAAACATGACTTTTGGCGCACTCTCTGCAGATGCTCTTTAATCAAAACAGGCATCGGATTAAACAAGCACTGTTATCAGGCAGCTGAAAGCACAACTCTGGAAAGGGTCCTTGGCGTACTAATTAAAAACTGGTTTCACCACAGAGAGCGCTCTCCTGATTGGCCAAAAGTGAAGCGGATCAGAAAGTCATGGGATGGGCTAAAAGCAGCACTCGTCAGCCTGATTAGACAGGTTAAATGTGATTGACTATCCTTGGTAATTAAAAGAGGGTGGAACCTTGTAATGTTTATACTCTGTAATTGGCTGGATTTGAATTTTCTTTAAAATTCTGTACTGTATATAGAGAGGGAGGGGGAGGCTTAATGTATAAAATGCCAAAGCTAGGAATAGTGTGGTGACAACAGTTCTGTATCTGTGAAGGAAGCTGGTGTGTATCAGTCTTCCCCCCCCCCACAAACACACTCCCACGTTCCCTGGGAAATAGTTTTACCTGGCATTTTTTACATGGTGGGAACCTTAAAAATGGAAGAATGTAGGAGAAACAGATTGTAGAAGATGCTACTAAGCTGCAACCTAATTTTAAACGTTGTGACTTAAAGGAATGGTACTCTCAAAAAACTAGTACTGTAATTCAAAATGAAAATTCTTGAGTCTTCACTTGCAAGATGACAATAAACTCAAACTATTTCCCAGATTATATCTGCTTCATTAATTATGCCCTTGTTTATATAATACAATTGTTTTTTTCCCATCTAGTCCATGTATAGAGAAGTTATGGTTTTAAGGCCATCCTGTGGGATTTAGGAAATTGGGGCTTTGCAATAGGACTGGGCAAGGATGCTGGTTGTAATACAGCAATGCGTTTTCAAATTTGAATTTTTTTTTTAAATTAAAACACGTACATGAACAGCAGAGGGCTGTGGCACTTATGAAAAGGATCCCAGATTCAGTATCTTGACAACTGGAATAGCACTAGCATCATGTTTTGAGTTTGGAACTACCATACAGACATTCTCAGTTGTTTTAAGCTAGTCCTAATATAGCTTGTCCTGAGTTTTGATTGACTTAACACACTGGCGGACATACGTAGACTATAACATTTTTAAACTGAATCACACAGTATTGTTCAGTCTGTTAACAGGAGTGCGTTCATACACTATGATCTTTACTTACATATGTTGTGGGTCTGCAGATCTTTCTAATAGAAGAGATTCTGCTTGCTTCAGATTCAGGCTTTTCTCTCAAAGAGGTGGGTCGGTCAATTCCTGTTGCAACCAATGGATCAACTCTTGATCTGGAAAAAAAGACCTTGCGCTTTCAGGAAACTACTACAGATAGGGAAAAAAAACCTTTTGGGAGGTCCATCTTCATTTTGGTCACCAAGCAACCAGTTGTAAGTTGAAGACTGTACAATTGTCTCTGCTGTCTTGACTTATTGTGGATAGTTTTTATTGATATGTCTTGTTTTAATTGGTGTTTAATTACACCTTTGATGTGTGTATTCAGACCTTCCCAACTTTTTTAGTGCAAATCAAATAGAAATTATACTGGTTGAGAAGGAAGCCGCAAGTAATACTTTATAGCAGTGATGGCGAACCTTTTAGAGACCAAGTGCCCAAACTGCAACCCAAAACCCATTTATGCATCGTCGAGTGCCAGGTGGGTGTGGCCCATTGGCTGGGTGTGGCCAGTTGGGTGGGCGTGGCTGCAGTGGGTGGGACTAAAAAGTTCAATCAATCAATTCCAACTCTGCAAGATTTTTTTTTCCCGTGAGAAGTTGAAATTGACTGATTGAACCTTTTTTTTTTTTTTTTGCACACGGCGGTGGAGGCCTAAAGCAAAAAGATTTTATAAAACCCAGCTAAAGGCCTAGGACTAGGGCGACGCCGTGCGTGTCCACAGAGAGGGCTCTGAATGCCGCCTCTGGCACCTGTGCCATAGGTTCGCCACCACTGCTTTATAGGGACGAAGCAAACATGGGCAAAAATTTGGGTAAGATTTTGACATTCCCAGATTTTTTCTATCTGGCGGAAATGTTAAGGAGCAGAAGGGAGATGGGGAAAGAGGGAAAACATAACAAAGTTGATTTCATGAAACATATTTAAGATGGCATGAAGGAACAACCACAGGCTAATGAATTAGGTTCTTACTCCTAGAAGGAAAGATAAAAGGAGTGATTTTAATAAAAGACTTGATACAGCCAGAATACATTTTAGAGCATCTTCTGTACCCATCAATTCTATTTTTAAAAAAAATTAACACACCCAGGGTAGTGCAACAGTTCCCTTTAGCATAGAATTTAAAAATCATGGTTGTTCTTATTATAGCTTTGGAAGGTGAGTAGATTCTTTTGACTTTTAACTGCTGAAATATTTTAAAAGTTTTTTAGTATTCTGTCTCTAGGATTTTTAAACCATTTAAAAATGAAATAATAAAACATTTCCCTTAGTTCAATGAATCTTGGCACAGTAATTTGTATTAGTAATAAAAGCTAGTTTGGTGCCAGGTTAAGGTGCCAGGTTAGAAGCCAGGAGATTGTGTGTTCCCTCTCCTTCAGCCTGACCTATCTCACAGGGTTGTTGTGGGGAAAATAGGGAGTACAGGTACTCAACTTTCAACCACAATTGAGCCCAATTTTTGTTGCTAAGCAAAAAATTTGTTAAGTGACTTTTGCTCCACTTTATGACCTTTCTTGCCATAGTTGTTAAGTGAACCATTGCAATTGTTAAGTAAGTAACACAGTTGTTAAGTGAATCTGGCTTCCTCGTTGCCTTTGCTTATCAGGAGGCAAAAAGGGCATCATCACATGACCCCAGACACTGCAACCGTCATAAATTGAGTCAGTAGCCAAATGTTTGAATTTTAATCACATAACCATGGGGATGCTGCGACGGTCATAAATGTGAAAACGTCATTAAATCACTTTTTTCAATGCCATTGTAACGTCAAACACTCACTAAACGAATTGTTGTAATTTAAGGACTACCTGTACTGTTACCTTGAGTTATACAAAAAATAATAATAAAGGCATGATATAAATAAGGCACAATCCCTAAAGTTAAGCCAGTGGGACCACAAAATGGGGACAGCTTTCAGCTAGAGCTACAAAACCCTCATTTATGTAACATACGGCATAGACAGAGCACATGGACAACAGTAATAAAATTATACAGGAGCACATAATAATACTAAGGTGCACGTACAATGGAAATATGTAGTCAATTTTATAAAGTTTGAGGAATTTAAGAAATTATATGCAGGCTATAGGTTACAGTTTTAAAATTAAGTTGGTTCATAATAGAATAACCCTCCCGCCCCTCAATGGCGCTTGGGGTTCGTACCACAAAGGAAACCCAGACCGAAACAGGGGTTCACACGTGTGCTGGACCATCACCCCCCAATCCTATTTGGGCTGCTTGCGGGGTACCATATTATAGAACTATCAAAAGTGACTCTCAGCCGGCCTGATTTTAACTAATTCGGCAACCTCGCCTTCTGGGACTGAGGGAAGGTTCGGCGCCTCACGAATGAATGCTGGACCCGCCGAACCGTCGTGGGAAGACACCCTCCCCACCGTGCCTTTCTTTATCCCTCCTGAACACTCCCCCCCCTCACGCCCGGCTCCCCTCAAGCAGCCCCTCGCTTCGGCTTTCGCGCCTTTCCCGCCCCCTCCTCCCAAAATGGCGACGCCTCTTCCCTGGTTTTCCCGCCCAAAAAGAGTTGAAGGAGGGAGGGGGGGGAAAAAGATCAAAAAAGTCGCTCCTCCCTAGAGCCCCGCCCCTTTCAGCCCCGCCCTCTTCCCCTCCCTTCCCGGCGCGTGGGCGGCGCCTCCCCGTCCGCGGGCAGGCGAAGGGGGCGGGGCCGGAGCGCCGCCCTTGCCCAGCCTGCCGAAGAGAAGAACGATGACGTCGGGAAAAAAAAAAAGAGAGAGAGAGAGAGAGGGAGGGGCCAGCGCGAGGCGACGGGTAAAGCCAGTCGCTGGGTTTGGTTCGCCGGCTCCGCCTGGCTTGCCCTTGATCTCTCCGCCCCGTGCGCTCTCCTTGCGCCCCCGCCTCCTCAGAAAGGGGCGGTCCCACTTTGGATCCTCTCCCTCTTCCCCCCCCCCTCCGTTTCTTTGGGGAAGACGCCAAACGTCGGCTCCTCCCCCTTCAGGTGCAGCTGCAACCGCCCCGCCCCTCCCCGCGTCTCTTCAGGGAAACCCCCCCCCCTTGTGGGAACAGCCCTCTCTGCCGCTCCCCCCCCTCCTGTGCGTGCAACAACGTCCCCATTTCCCAGCAGGAAAGAGGAAGGGGCTTTGTAGTCCTTCCAAGCCTCCCCCCCTTTTCTTCCTGTCAGGGGCCCAGCCTGGGGGGGCTCCCACTCGAGAAGCAAAGCAAAGAGGCTCCCTGTGGGCCTGTGGTAAGAGGCCTGCACCCCCCCCGCGCCCCCCTCCCCAAGAAGGAGGGGGGTTTCTCCTGGGCTGGGTGCAAAAGTCTGTTTCTAGGCTCCCCCCAGCAGGAGGAGGAGGAGGCCTGCAGCCATTGCACAGGCTGGGCTTTGCTGCCCCCCCTCCCCCTGCAATTCAGAGAAGGGGGCCTTTGAGGGGGGGGAGAGTGGAACCCCCCCCCCGTTGGCATTGTGAGGTTGCCAGGTTGGTGAGGGTGTGAAAATGTGCTTTGAGTTGGCCTGGAAGGGAAAGGGAAACCCTTTGGGAGATCATATATATATAAGAAAATAACTTTCTGAAAAGTTAGAACCCCAATCTGAATTGTGGGCTCTTTAAAAGCCTAACAGGACCCCCTTGATACCAGCATTCCTGGTTGGTTAAAATTTTTCTGAATCAAACCAGGAGCAAAGTTGGAGGGGGGGAAAAAGGGGGGGGGGAAATATCTGATGGCCAAGAAATAGAATGTGGATGAAATGGAAGATCTTTTCTGTTGGTGGCTGCTGGTCTTCCTTCTAAAACAGCTCTGGGAGAAATTCAAATCCTGTTGCCTCAACTTTTAAAACCACTTTTCTGCCGCCCCGCTTTTTATCAAATTCTGCAGTTTTCCTTTTTTTTTTTCTTTAATCAGATTTTTTTGGGGGGGAGAGCTCACAAAATGGCATAATTTCCTTTAAACATTTGCTTTATTTTTATCAGGAGTTCAGACCAGCAGTACTTTTTTTTTTAAAAAACTATCCTGAAAAATCAATATGCTGCAAGTGAATATTGAGCATCTTGAACGACAGATAATTGAAAGACTTTGGTTGATTAATCTCCCTGCTGTTTAAGTAACGTTTTTGAACAAACATGCACATCAGCAAATGGATGATTATATTTCACAGGCATATATATAGGGTATACTAACTTATGACATTGTTAGCATACCAAAACAACAATGGAAAAAGAAAAGTTTATCTGCATAAACATTACTTGAAAATAATCAGTGCTATGACAATTATTTACCCAAAGTTTTAAATACCCTAAATTTCACATGCGATAAAATTTTTTTCACTGATTATCTTGACTATCTAATGAATTCCTCATTCCCTCCCCCCTCCGTTGTTTAGAATTACCCCATTCCAGTTTTCCTAGTAATGATTGTATAACAATAAAATAAAGTGTGTTTTATGGATGATGCATTATATGAACAGGTTTTTTTTAAAAAAATGCTAGTATACAATATGCTTGGATATAGCTAAAGTGATCAGAACTTCAGATTAAATACTGAATATACTTATGAGTGAATGTGAGTTAAAATTCCTTTTACTCTTCTTTATTTTAAGGACACTCCTTTTCCAGGATTTTCCCAAAAGGTATGTTATGGCCTAAAATACAGATACTGAAATTTTGCTGCTTGTTTTCACTATTATATAAGACAAAAATAAGGGCTGATGATTTTAGCTTTATTGCTGGTGAATGGCACCTCTAAGCAAATATTTAATTAAAGGATTTATAAAAGGAAAATACTGAATCAGGAAACATGAATCTTCATGTGGAATTTTGCAATATATTTGCCGTGTTGCTAAATTAAGAGTACTGTTTTAGAGACAAAATAATCACACACAGGCTTTAAAAAGCAATACTTTTAATATACTGCCTTTGCTAAAAGTACCCAGTGTGTTGCACAAAGCAATAAAAGAATAGTATCATAAAGAAAAATAAGATAGTATGCGAAAATGTATATACTCGTCATAAAATCACAACAAACATGGAAAGCTGCAACAAAAAGAGCTACAATAAAAGGGACAAAGCTGGTTTGGCTTAAGAAACAAAGGGATCAAATATTTGCACAAAAGTTTTAAATTTTCCTTAGCAGAAACCGTTTTGAATAGCTCTGCTTAATAGAATTTCATTATCCGTTATTGAATTCCTTAGACATTGCTGACTGAAGAGATAGCCCCATTACTTCTTTTTGTGTGTCTGTGTCTATGTGTTTAGGAAATAACTTCAAATACAGAAGTGATTAAATATGGACCAGTATCATCTCAATGATGACAGCTCACTCCATTCTGAAATTCAGCTCCCTGAATTTTCTGGGAACCAGACTTTGGACTGTAGCGATACATTCAGCCATGATCTTTGTCCAGATATGAGAGACATGATTTATGCTGGACTGAACAATCTGGATGTGGATCCCAGCCTTTCAACGACAAACATAAACAGTGATTCATTGGAAGACAACCTGGACACCTTGTCTTTGTATTCAGTAAGAGACTGTGACTCTGCTAAACTCCTTGATGATTGTGACACAGACTCACAACCGCTATTGCAGGGTGAGTAATCCATTGCAGAGCTGGAGGTGGCCATATTTATAACTGACTTATTTTAGCTATGGATTCAGGTCTTTTGCCTTATTAAACTTTATATTATTTCAGCTAGCGTTCTTCAGCTGGATGTTTTCCAGAATGGTTGGGATTTCAACTGTCAAGAATTCTCAGCCAAGTATAAAGAAATAGCTGTGCCAGGAGGCTGTTTGCTAATTCTGTATTTTGTATATATAAAGCTAATGGAAAAAGGAGATGCTTGGCAACTGACTCATATTTATGACGGTTGCAGTGTCCTGGGGTCATGCGATTCGCTTTTGTGACCTTTTGACAAGCAAAGTCAATGGGGAAGCGAGATTCACTTAACAACCGAGTTACTAACTTAACAAGGGCAGTGATTCACTTAACAACTGTGGCATGAAAGGTCGTAAAAAGGGGGCAAAGCTCACTTAAATGTCTCACTTAACAGAAATTTTGGGCTCAATTTTGGTCATATGTTGAGGACTACAAGTAGCAATGGTAAAAGGAGAGGCAATTTTTACGTGATGACACCAAATTTTTAAACTGCTTTGTGGCATGTTCATAACAGTCTTTTTTGGCATCTGATGAAGATTTTATTCTCGATATTTTAAAAACTTCTGAATGTTTTTACATATTGAGACTGCTTTATACTGCTGCTGTTTTTATATCATGTCATTCTGCCGCCTTGCTTTTAATACAGCACTGTAGGTTTTATCCGGTTTTATTATGTGCACTTTTGCCATTGATGACTCTTTGTGTGTTATGCTACAGAAGTAACTGGCTACTAAGCAGCCTCAAAGTGTAATAAATGAATCATTGCCAGAATTTAGTTCTGCATGTATATATTAAGCCTTCATCTGTGGTTTGGAAACCGCCGGGGCTAAGCAAAAAACCAAACCACAGTATGGCATAGCATACCGTATGTAACATGAAACCATCCTGTGAGGCCTAATGTGGGTTCTTTGTTTTGGCTTAGCACGTCTATGAACACCACCTATATAATGTGTTAACCGTGGCTTAGTTTGTGGTCAAACAAATATTGTTTTGTACGTTTGACTGTCATCAATTCTGGAATAAGCATAATTTCTCTTGCCATTTTTGCAGTCCCTGATGTCTCCAAGGCTGCTTCTTCTCTGGCACACGGGATACAAAAAGTTGTATCTGAAACATTCTGGGGTCCTTTTGTGATGCCAGAAGCCTTTATTTGTTAGGTTAATCTTTACCACACTCCTCCAAGATAGGACAGCATCATATAAATCAGGGGTTCTCAACCTTGGCAACTTTAAGACTTGTGGACTTCAATTCCCAGAACTGAATTGAAGTCCACAAGTCTTAAAGTTGCCAAGGTTGAGAACCCCTGGTATAGATCAAGGGTCTTCAAACTTGGCCCTTTTATGACTTGTGGACTTCAACTCCCAGAATTCCTCATGCTGAGTCAGTTGTGAAGCCTCTGAATTTTGATCACGTGATCCCGGGGATGCTGCAACGGTCGTCAGCCTGAAAAACGGTCCCAAGTCCCTTTTTTCAGCGCCGTTGTAACGTCCAACTGTCACTAAACGGACTGTTGTAAGTCAGGGACTGCCTAAACCAGGGGTAGGCAACCTCGGCTCTTTTATGACTCATAATTCCTGCTGACTCAGGAATTCTGGGAGTTTGAAGTCCATGAGTCGTAAAAGAGCCGAGGTTGCCTACCCCTGGCCTAAACAGACACCCGAGACCATGCTGGTGAACTAAAAGTTGGTATTCCTCATTTAGAATTGGGGCTTTCCGCCCCTTCAGCACCGAAAGAAATGGAGCCAGGAGGCAGATCCGGTGCTGGCAGCGGAAAAAAAGGAAGACCCCAGCAGAACACGCTTCAAGCCGCTTTCTTGGACTGCAGCCTCTGTGGGAAGGTTTTCAGCAGCACCAGCTCCCTCAGCAAACACTACGTGACCCACAGCCAGGAACGGAAGCACGTCTGTAAGATCTGCGGCAAAGCCTTTAAGAGACAGGATCACTTGTAGGTATCTTTTCCACCCCAACAACTGAAGTGCTCTAGAAAAAATAAGCATTGCTGGCAAAATCTGCTCAGCGCCACGCAGGGGCTCACGAGGGGGCCCTCCAGAGTCCAAGGCGATCCCACTTTTCCTGTCCTGGAAAAGACAAAATCTGCCAGTTTAGGAGTCGCTCCGCTTAGTGGAGCTACTGTAGAACTGTCTAGCGTGCCAGATTTTCACATTTTGTACAGCGCTAGCTTGATCTGGATTCTAGGGACGAAGGGGCAGCTGAAGAACAGAAGACAGATTTTCTAATGCCTGGGGAAAAAAATTAGTCCTCTAATTCGGGGAGGGGGCAAAATTAATTTTCCCAAAGGGCCATTTGAAAAAGTGAGACTTGTGGAGGGCTGAACCAAGAGGGCTGTGAAGGTGTGCAAGTCTGCACCCCAAGCACGTATATAAATTGGGAAAAAATAGTAGGCACCTTCAGAAATAAAAGAAATCCACGCAGTCTGGGCAGAGAGCGCCAAAGGGCTGGATATGGCCCAGGGACCATAAAATGCCCAGGTCTCCTCTAACTGTTTGGAGGGTTCTGGCAAAGGGACAAGCCATAAAGAAGCTTAATTGCTAGCAAGTTTTTAATGCTACTTTCCTTTGGAACAGGATGGGTGGGAAACGATGACCCTTTAATGACTTGTGGACTTCAACTCCCAGAATTCCTGAGCCAGCAAGTCCACAAGTCATAGAGGGGCCATCGTTCCCCACCTCTGCTTTAGATTTAAAAAAAGCTCATTGTGTTAGAACAGTGGTTCTCAACCTTTTTAATGTCGCGACCCCCAACCGGTCGTAAGTCGAGGACTACTCAACTGGTGCAGCACCGTTTGCAGAATGGGACTTTTGGCGGGCTCAGCAGGGCAGAGACAGCCTGGACAATTCCTATTGGCTTTGGAAAGCCAATAGAATTAAACTCTATTCAAGAGAGTCTATTCTATTGGCTTTCAAAAGCCAATAGAATAAAAGGGAGGAGCACAGCTAAGGAAAAGGGGGAAAAAATGGCGGACTGCGTTGTTTGGCGACCCCCGTGAAATGGTCGTTCGACCCCAAATGGGGTCCCAACCCACAGGTTGAAAACCACTGTGTTAGAAGGCTGTGGTGGACTCTGTCACTTTGATTTGATTTAAACCTTTTTGAAAAAATACAAGGGCGAGTATTCTGCCCTATAAATTAAAATTATTGGGAAGGGACTGCTCATTCAGCCTTTCCTTCCTTATCGTTCTGCCCATTTCTGTGGTCAAAGCAGCTGAAGAAGCAGTAACCATAGAAGTACTTTTGGCCAATGCAGTGGATATATTCAGTACGAGAGGCTACACCATAATGCTCCCTTTTCTTGCATCGTCCTCAGTCTCAGCGTACGATGATGGGAGCGATTTTAGTATTGGAGAGCAATGAGGGTTAAGCCTAGACCAGTGGTTCTCAACCTGTGGGTTGGGACCCCATTTGGGGTCGAACGACCATTTCACGGGGGTCGCCAAATAAGGCTGTCCGCCATTTCCCCCGCCCCTTTTCTTTGGCCACGCCCCTGGCACCCAGTGATGTATAAGTGGTTGGGGGTCACCACAACACGGGGAAGTGTATTATGGGGTCGTGGCATTAGAAAGGTTGAGAACCACTGGCCTAGACCTTCTTTGCATGTTTCATGGTTTAATCTTTTTTTTTAATTTTTAATTTAAAAAAAAAAAAAACCATCAGGAGTGGCCACATGCTGACTCACCAAAAGACAAAGCCCTTCATTTGCATAGAACAAGGTTGCAATAAGAGCTACTCGGACCATCGATCGCTCCGCCGGCATTACGAAATGCATCACGGCTTGCGGCTGTTGAAAGACGAAGAAGCCTGTGAGAGCACACCGCCTTCCCACGACTCGCTCACCCAGATGGGACAGACCGGCTTGAGAGCCCCAGAAAACTTGGCTGCTCACCCAGACTCTCCAGGGCCCAACAATTCCATCCTGCCCAACCGAGACTTGCTGAGATGTATTGTCAGTAGCCTGGTGGGGCCAAAGCTGCCGTCCACCCCGTCGTCGTCTGTCGGACAGAGCGAAGCTGACCCCCGAGGACCCTTGCAACCTTGCAGCTCGGTCTACGGCCAGATTTCGTGTCTTCCCACCAGCACCACAGCGGCCAGAGAAACCCCCGGCGAGAAAGCCATGAAGGAGATTTACCCTTGCCAAAAGAACGTGCCTTCTTCCAGCATGTACACGATCATCAACACCGGGAATTTGTCGATACTGGGGCCCTCGGAAAGCCGTACAAATTTCCCCGACCGGCCTCCCCATTCGGAACGCGAGCTCCCTTTAGAAAGCAGCGCTTTGGAGTATTGGTCCAACAGCGGCGTCCCTCGTTTCCCCTTACTCCGAGGCCAGAAGGTCCCCACCACCACTCAGCAGCCGAGCGGCAGCGTCCAGTGGGCCAGAAATGCGCCCCCAGTTGGCACCAAAACCAAAGGACATGGTCTCTACGTGGCTCAACATGAGGCTTCTCAAGGGATGGTGGGGCCACCCCACGCGTTTGACTTCACGAGACTCAGCTTCGAGTGTCCAGATGCTATACCGTTCCCCCCGGCCCCTTTAAAGACCCAAGAAGAAGCTTCTGGAGAGGCCAAACTCAGATGCTTTGAAGAGACCTTTAGTCCAGTGGCCAGACTTTCGGACGTCCCAAAGCACAGCCTCCTTCAGAAGGGCGAGACCGTGCCACTCTTCCGGCCTCTCTTCGCGAAACCCCAGGAATCGTCTCTCAACCAGGACCAGGTGCAAGTCCAGAGTCATCTTTTCCAGAGGATCACCAAATCTCAACACATTGTGTCCCACACCAAGGTGCTGGCTCCGTCGAAGCTGGCAGCTGCGGGGGTCGAACCGGGGGGAGCAAAATCAGCTGCCCATGGCTTTCAGCAGCAGAAAGATTTGGGTCGCCCGGTGGCGCAGCCGATGGGGAACGACGGGCCTCCTTCGACGCCGTTTCAAGCAGACTTTCCATCTGATCTCGAAAAGCTGCCTCCGCCGTCTTTTCCGTCGTCTGCCGCACCCTCTGGAACCCCGAGTGGCACTTCTCATGCTAAGCACCCCCGGCCTTTGAAAAGATGTCTAGAGTGTAAAGACTTTCCCAGCCCTAGTCAGTCAGCCTCGTACGAAAACACCCCGGGAAACCACACTTACGGGAAGCCAAGGCAGTTGGAAAAAGACTCTCCTTTGCCAAGAAAGAAAGAGAAGACCAAGGCTTGCCCTAAGGAGTTGGGCAGCAAGGGACATTCTCGTAGCGGTAGACCCCGCCGGAAGGAAAAACCCAAGTTTGATATCGCGTCCATGGCTTCTCCCAGTCAAGTCGCCATGGCTTCCTTTTCTTTGCCCAGCACCTCATTTGATAGCGGGTCCAGAGCGAAGCCCAAGCTGACGATTTTCAACAGAATTCAGGCAAGTTTTTAAAGGCTTCTTTTTGAGAAATCAGAATAAGCTTCTGAAGAATAATTCTGTAGACAAAAGAAACCTGTTTGTATATGTGTTTCATTACTTTCTTTCTTTCTTCCTTTCTTTCTCTTTTTTGAAAAACACAGGGTGGAAATATCTACAGCTTTACGAATGCGATCAAAGAGGAATGCTTTTCCCCTGGGTGGTAAGCAGGGGTTTATTATGCTTTAATACTGCCAGAAATATTAGTGTGCGTACATGTCTGGGTGTGTGTGTGTGTGTATGTGTATACACACACAAGTACACACATTCACACGTATGTACGTACACACACCCACATATATACACACATACACACACACACACATACACATCTATAGCTATATCTGTCATCTATCAACATATATACATATATATGCATACATATATACATACAGAGAGAGAGAGAGGGAGAGAGACAATTGCAAATATAGTCACAAAACAAATATCCTTCACCGTAGTTGGATAAACAGTCAGAGATACACTCCTGCTTTTGTTCAAGTAATTTCGGATGTACTGGCCACGTTCCTTGATATTACTTCTATCTGACAAAGGTACCCAGAAATATAAGCCAGAGAGAGCTAAAACCTGGCCCATTAACAATAATTCTTAACTTTAGTGTGTCAGAGGCAGAATTTGGGAAAGTCCAGGCGGAAAGCTTATGCAAATATGAGGTTTCTGTTCCTCATGCTAATAAAACCGAGTTAGGTAAATAAGCCTCCAGCATTTAACGGATTATAATTCAGTACATATATGGGGAAGATACTCAGGAAGCAGGCAGACGATCGGCGCTTCCCAAGATGGCATTTCAAAAGTGATTTGTAAGAAGGCACACCCAGAAAAGGCCAAATCTGACTGGGCTGGCCCTCAGCAGCTCTCTGCTTCCTGGTTATTATCTCTTGCCCAGCCCTTCTTTATATATGATGCCCCAGTGAGTTTCCTTCCCCAGTTAGCGGTTCAGTGGCAAATGATCCATAGAAGGACTTCCCCCCCTCCCCCCCCCGACTGGCTTCAGAGGATCTCTAAAGTACCAGAACATAGTTAGGGTTGTAACATGGTTGGAGTACAAATCATAACATAGAAATTCAAGCTTTCTTATAACTACGTTTCTCACCTTGCTTACATCGATTGTTGCCAACAGTAGTAAGACTGAGGCAGATCTTGGAGACAGGAATGAGAAAGGGAACAGCTTTCGCTGTGCAACCTGCAATCAGCTGTTTTATACCGAAAGGGGCCTGAACAGTCATATGTGTTTCTATGGTGAGCAGTGGCAGTCTCCGGCAGGGAAGGAAAAGCAGCAGGTAAAAGGGGAAAAAAAAAATCACCTTGGTAAATGAATGTTTGTTACCGCCGATGCCGGAGTCGCGCATAAATAGGAGGAGGTCCTAGGGGAGAATGAATCTCAAATGTTTTAGTCCGTCTTCGTCTCGATTCTGCTCTCTGTGGGGCCCTTGGTGCTCTCTGAACTTGGTGGTTTTCCTGCAGACGTTTCATGACCCCGCTAGGGAGTGTCATCAGTGCTAGAAAGGAGTGGGGTTTGCAGTCTTTATAAACTGCACTCCCGTCTAGCACTGATGATGTTCCCTAGCTGGGTCATGAAACGTCGGCAAGAAAATCAGCAAGCTCAAAGAGCGCCAAGGACCCTACAGTCGTTGACATCCTCCTCCTCCTCCTCCCTTTCTTCCTTCTTCCCACCTTCTCCTCCACTCCACAAACCCCACTCCCTGCTAGCACTGATGATGTTACCTAGTTGGGTCGTGAAATGTCTTCAAGAAAACCACCAAGCTCAGAGAGCACCGAGGATCCCAGTCTTCCTCCTCTCCATAAACCACCCTCTCTTCTAGCACTGATGATGTTACCTAGATGGGTCATGAGAAAGCCACCAAGGACCCCACTGTTCAACCTTGAGCTACAAATATATCCTCTTTTATTGGTATTCTGCTCACTGCATTCCTTACCTTGGATCACCAGATCTTCCCTTAACATTTCTGGAAGAAGTCTGCATACTACACTTCTTATTTCTGAGCAGAGCTATTTTTTAAAACTCGAAACATTGGCAGGATGCCTTCAGCGAGATAAAATGTCATCTTTTGACATGCTAAGGACGGAGTGCTCCTTTCGTCCTTTTTTCTAGACTGTTGCCCTGTAGAACTCCTTTGGTATCAAGCTTTTTGTTTTGTTTTTTTACTGGTAAAAGCTCCAGGCAGCTAATAATCCATATAGAAAAAACAACAACCTACTGCATTAAAAAGGATGCTGAACATGCCAATGGGGATTAGGTGCAATTATCAATAAGATAATTGCACCTAATGCGTGTGAAATGCTTTGAATGTTGAGAAATTGCTATATAAATGCTAATAATTATTAATCCACAATCCAGTCTTTTGGCTATTTATCTGAACGTAGCCCAGCATGGTTATTACTTAGGGTTGGCTTCCGGGAAGGTATGATTAGAATTGAATATAATGAAATTTAACTGCCAGTTAAACGTATCTAGGATTATAGCTATAACAGCTTTGAAAGGGGGAATGTGAACCATTTGGGGTTTTTTTTTGTTTCATTTGGTAGTTCTTTCCAGGGTGGCGTGGTGATCTCGTGGTGAGGACTCTCGCCTCCCACTCGGAAGGCTGCGAGTTCAGTCCTAGTAGCGGAAGATATTTCTTCCTCAGGGCACAAAGAGAAAATACTTGCTGCAAACTGAACTTCCACGTAGGCATCAGGAAGAGCATCCAGCTAATAAACTCTCAGCCCCATTTAGTCACCCAGAACTCTACCCCCAAATTAAGGAATTACCAGGTTGCAGAAAGAAAAATAAAAAAAGTTATTTCTTTCCACTGGTTTTTAAATCTTAAAATATCTATTTCCAGATTAAGTCCTTTGGAAAGACCCATACAGAATCTGGGACAAAATTACAGGTAGCCCTCAACATACCACTTGTCATTTAGCGACCGTTCAAAGTTCCCCCAAAAGGTACTTCCAACCCAGTTACAACGCCCCTCCCCCCAGTTACCCCATTGTGTTTCAGGCACTAGGCGACCACCCCAACATTTATAGCCATTTGCAGAGAGTCCCACGGTCACCTGTCCGCAATTTATGACATTTTTGCCGAAAACCAGCGTTCTGATTTTGGGGCAAAAATGCCCCATAACAAACAAAGAGTTTGCTTAGCAATGAGTCGCTTAATGAGCATGGTGACTCATTCAACAACCACCACCATGAGGTCATAAAGTTGGACCAGTCATGTGATGACCCGCTTTACGACTCACAATTTATGACCATGACGGGCGGGCTCCGTTACGGCTGTAAGTTGAGGACCACTCGCAATTTGAAAGAATTAACCAGCGTTTGTATCGCCGCTTGTAGCCTTGTTGCTAGAATATATATTTCTTTTTTTTTATTATTTCCCTTAAGGCCTACGAGGCAGAGCAGTTCCAGCCTCAGAAGTGGCCCTTCCGGGCAGCCACAGACCGAGCTGTCCATCCCGAAATGAACAGGTCTTCAGAAGAGGGACCCGTGGCCCCTATAGTCATGCCTGTCTCTGTGCCCATAATGGCTGCCCACCAACAGCAAGTGGGTGGTGGTTTGTATTTTATTAATTTTAAGCTGCAAAGATAAATGAATTGTTTTAAGTTCTGGTTAATGTAGCAATTCATGGAACTTGACATGTCGTGCAGCAGTGTGTGTGAAGTTCCTCCCTGTGCAGAATTAGCCGTTTTGAAAAATTAAGAATTTATGGTTTTATTTTATTGCATAGTCTATAAAATGAGACAAAGAGTTGTGAATTATGGGCTCTTTTTTAATGAGCATTGTTTTTCCATACCTTATAGCTGATTGCATGGTATACAGGAATAGAATAAGAATAAGAATAAGAATAAGAATAGAATAGAATAGAATAGAATAGAATAGAATAGAAAATAGAATAGAGAATAGAATAGAATAGAATAGAGAATAGAATAGAATAGAAAATAGAATAGAATAGAATAGAATAGAAAATAGAATAGAATAGAAAATAGAACAGAATAGACTAGAAAATAGAATAGAATAGAATAGAAAATAGAATAGAATAGAGAATAGAATAGAATAGAAAATAGAATAGAATAAAAAATAGAATAGAATAGAAAATAGAATAGAATAGAATAGAATAGAATAGAATAGAATAGAATAGAATAGAATAATGAATGGAGTAGAGGAATAGAATTAGAATTAGAATAGAATTCAATTCCAGTTCAGTTCAATTCAATTTTTTATTGGCCAAGAGTGATTGGACACACAAGGAATTTGTCTCCGGTGCAGAAGCTCTCAGTGTTCATACAAGCAACAAGCAATTAAATCATGATTATAATCATAAAATTCATTCATCATAGATCATAAGATTCAACACTTATGGGGTACTAAATAAGCAATCAACATAAATCATACTAGGATACTAAATAAAACAATATAAATTGTAAGATACAAGCAACAAAGACTTAAATCTCCCAAATGTGCTGGAATTGTTAGAAGTATTTAGGCTTTGCTGTGTTTTTAGGGACATAAACATATCTGCAGTAGAGTTCCAGACTTAAACTAGGCCAATAGCTTTATTACTTTGTAACATGGGTAGTTCTCAACTTATGATTGATAATTTAGTTCGAAGTTACAACAGAGATACTTAAGACCCAGTTTCATTTATGGCCACTGCAGTGCCCCTCCTGTGGTTCATATTGTGAAGGCAGGACGAGAAGCAACGGATGGAAACTCATCAAGGAGAGAGGCAACCTAGAACTAAGGAGAAATTTCCTAACAGTGAGAACAATTAACCAGTGGAACGGCTTGCCTCCAGAAATTGTAGGTGATCCAATTCTGGAGGCTTTTAAGAAAAGATTGGACAGCCATTTGTCTGAAAGGGTATAGGGTCTCCTGCTTGAGCAGGGGCTGGAATAGAAGGTCTCTTCCAGTTCTGTTAATTCTGTTATCTTGGGTGGTGTACAATGTCATCATTATTTGCATATGCCCCCCAACAATCTGGGTCCTCATTTTTCCAACCTCAGAAGGATGAAAGGCCGAGTCAATCTTGACCTTTGTCAGGATCGAACCCCAGGCTGAGTTTGCCTGCAATACTTCAGTTAACCACTGCGCCACCAGGGCAAGATAGTAGTAGTAGTAAAGTTGGAAGGGACCTTGGAGGTCATCTAGTCCAACCCCCTGCTCGGGCAGGAAACCCTACACCCTTTCGGGCAAGTGTCTGTCCAGTCTCTTCTTAAAAACTTCCAGTGTTGGAGCATTCACCGCTTCTGGAGGCAGGCTGTTCCACTGATTAATTGTTCTCACTGTCAGGAAGTTTCTCCTTAGTTCTAGGTTGCTTCTCTCCTTGATGAGTTTCCACCCATTGCTTCTTGTCCTGCCTTCAGGTGCTTTGGAAAATAGCTTGATTCCCTCTTCTTTATGGCAGCCCCTGAGATACTGGAATACTGCTATCATGTCCCCCTTTGTCCTTCTCTTCGTTAAACTAAATATGCCCAATTCTAGCAACCGTTCCTTATATGTTTTAGCCTCCAGTCCCCTGATCACCTTTGTTGCTCTTCTCTGTACTCTTTCTAGCTCAAGAGAGTGCTGTAAAGCCCTATGGGGTGATATAGAAGACGAAACGTTAAATCCTATTGCTATCTTCTAAGGGATATATATGCCTGCAAGGCTGGCTGCGCCCACGCTGCAGATGGAGCTTGCCAGGGAAACGATTGAGACACAGTGATTTGCCTCAAGCTACCTAATCTATGACCCGGTTGTGATGCAGTTCACCAGCATCCTGATTTGAGCTCAGCCATGTTTATGTCACAAGTCAAGCCCTAAAGGAAGCAGGCCACACGTAGGCCATCGCTTCTCCTTTCGGTTGGACCCAGCCGTTCTCCCGGCCTCTTGGCTCAGCTTCTTCAGTCCCTACACAGGGATTTCTCATGTCTCTTCTGTCCCTCCTAAAGAAAACTGGAACCATCGCCTTCTCGGCAGATATGGTAGGACTGCTGCTGAGTAAAACAACAGTGGAGGAGTAGAAGCCTCCATTTTATAGCCGTTTAATAGGTAAAACCACAAAACGGTGCGTTTCCAAGGCTCTCCGTATTAAGCAGCACTAGGTCTTATTAATGCTAGGTGAGAAAGTGAAGTCCTAAGTCAGTGATGAGGAACTGTGGTCCCTTTATGACTTGTGGACTTCAACACCCAGAATTCCTGAGCCAGCCATGCTGGCTCAGGAATTCTGGGAGTTGAAGTCCACATGTCATAAAGGGGCCATAGTTCCCCCACCCCTGCCTCAAGTCAACATTTATAGATAGAAAGGCTGTAGCTGGAAGAACAGCATAGTGATGTCACAATCCCGTCACCAACGGAGTTGGCATTTTCAGTTTCCCTTCAGGATTGCAGCTTCCAACCTTCTTTAAAGGACTTTTTTTTTAAAAAATGAAAACTAGGCTGTAGCAGTAATTCTTTTTTATTTGGCTATTGATTCCCCCCCCCCCTACAGTTATTCACTGTTGAGATTCTGAAACCCAGGCGGTACAGATAAAGGATTTTCTGAATAGCTCCGACAGGCTACAATTCCTGGCATTCTCTGGGGGAGAGAACATTTAATATGATATCAAACTCGATAGATCATGTGAAGTATTAATACCACTCTTTAATGCCTTGGTAAGGCCACACTTGGAATACGGCATCCAGTTTTGGTCACCACGATGTAAAAAAGATGTTGAGACTCTAGAAAGAGTATAGAGAAGAGCAACAAAGATGATTAGGGGACTGGAGGATAAACATATAAGGAACGGTTGCTAGAATTGGGTATGTCTAGTTTAACGAAGAGAAGGACAAGGGGGGACATGATAGCAGTCTTCCAATATCTCAGGGGCTGCCCCAAAGAAGAGGGAGTCAAGCTATTCTCCAAAGCTCTGGAAGGCAGGAAAGAAGCAACGGATGGAAACTAATCAAGGAGAGAAGCAACCTAGAACTAAGGAGAAACTTCCTGACAGTGAGAACAATTAACCAGTGGAACAACCTGCCTCCAGAAGCAGTAAATGCTCCAACACTGGAAGTTTTTAAGAAGAGACTGGACAGCCATTTGTCCGAAATGGTGTAGGGTTTCCTGCCCGAGCAGGGGGTTGGACTAGATGACCTCCAAGGTCCCTTCCAACTTTACTATTATTATATTATTATATTATATTATTATATTATATTTGCTGCTATGGCTAGATCTTGGTTGTCGTTTGCTTTGGTAGGCGAATGTCAATAAAATCTTTGGTTATCGGGATTGTGTGACGGTTTGGGTATGTGTAGGTTTGAGAAAGAAACATAATTTGCCAGTTTGGTCTAAGGATTAAGGCACTGGGGTAGAAACCAGGAAACTGTGAGTTCTAGTCCTGCCTCAGCCCTGAAAGCCAGTTGGGTGAGTTTGGGCGACTCACAAGGAGACGGTGAGTTCCAGTCCTGCCTTAGGCATGAAAGCCAGCTGGGTGACTCAACCCAATCCACCTGACAGGGTTGTTGTAGGGAAAATAGGAGGAGGAGGACAACGTGTTGGATATAGTGAATGAGTTATTTGTAAAAAATAAGGTGGGATACAATTAAATAAAACAATTTTAAGACACATCATAAAAGTTGAAGCAGACTTATGTTTTGTCATTCGGGAGAGCAGCATTAGAACTAGCATAAAACACGTAAGGATTTTGACTAATCATTGGAGAAACTTCTTAGAGCGGCATGGTGGCCTCACAATCGGGAAACTGTGTGTTCAATCCTAGGTAGCAGCAGATATTTCTCTCTCTGGGCACAAAGAGAAAATGCCTGCTGCGAACTCTGCATAGGTGTCAGGAAGGGCATCCAGCCAATAAACGCTCAGCTCCATTCAGTCGCCCTGACTCCACCCCAATGCGAGGGATTACAGGGTCGTTAAAAAGAAAAAAAAGTAGGAGAAGCTCTTTAAGTCAAAGCTGTTTGACAGTGTAAGAGACAACCTGGGTACACTTGATTCTAGAGAAACCAAAGCCGAGGCTGGACTGGATCCTATAATCGCGGGATCCCCGCCGTGTAGCATTCCCACTTACAAAACACCGTGATTCTCGTAGTCTTTGATAGCTTGAACAGTTGGGACAAAGATGCCGTACTCCTTCTAAGGCAGTGGTTCTCAACCTGTGGGTCGGGATCCCATTTGGGGTCGAACGACCATTTCACGGGGGTCGCCAAACAACGCAGTCTGCCATTTTTCCCCCCCTTTTCCTTAGCTGTGCTACTCCCTTTTATTCTATTGGCTTTCGAAAGCCAATAGAATAGATTCTCTTGAATAGAGTCTAATTCTATTGGCTTTCAAAAGCCAAAAGGAATTGTCCAGGCTGTCTCTGCCCTGCTGAGCCCGCCAAAAGTCCCATTCTGCAAACGGTGCTGCACCCGTTGAGTAGTCCTCGACTTACGACCGGTTGAGTAGTCCTCGACTTACGACCGGTTGGGGGGGGTCACGGCATTAAAAAGGTTGAGAACCACTGTTTTAAGGATACACCACCGTGCAGGCTGCCTTGATTTTTTCTTCTTCCAGTTAATCAATCAAAGTGCCTGGGCTCCTTATCTCTTGGGTCAGGTGAACGAGAAGGAAAGCCAGGATGATAAAGATCTTCAGGAAGGCATGCCCCCCAAGAAGAAGAAGAAGAGGGCTCATCCCAAATCCCTGCTCATCCCACCACCTGCTGGGAGTGAGATTCAATCTGGTCCCGGAGGATGCTACCAGAGTAACCTGCGCTCACCTGTCTTCCTCATGGACCATTTTCTTCAAGGCTTAATGCAGTTCTCTCCGTACACACCACCCCCAATGCTCAGCCCCATTCGGGAGGGCTCTGGCCTCTACTTCAACACTCTCTGCTCTGCTTCTACAAATCCCACTCCTGCCTCCATGTACGCCTCTGTTTTAGGTAATTGCTCATCCTCCTGACACCTTTGCATAAAACTGCCCAATAAATGCACTATTTGTATTGCCCCCCCCTCTCTGTGTCATTCTCTCTCTGTCATTCATTTCTTCTCTCTCTCTCTCTCTCTCTCTCTCTCTCATTCTCCCTCATTCTCTCTTTCTGTCATTCTCTCTGTCATTCATTCCCTCTCTCTCTCTTTCTCTCTTTCTGTCATTCTCTCTCTGTCATTCATTCCTTCTCTCTCTCTCTCTCTCTCTCTCTCTCATTCTCCCTCATTCTCTCTTTCTGTCATTCTCTCTGTCATTCATTCCCTCTCTCTCTCTTTCTCTCTTTCTGTCATTCTCTCTGTCATTCATTCCCTCTTTCTCTCTTTCTGTCATTCTCTCTCTGTCATTCATTCCTTCTCTCTCTCTCTCTCTGTCATTCTCTCTCTGTCATTCATTCCTTCTCTCTCTCTTTCTGTCATTCTCTGTCATTCATCCCTTCTCTCTCTCTCTCTCTCATTCTCTCTGTCATTCTCTGTCATTCATTCTCTCTCTGTCATTCTCTGTCATTCTCTTTCTGTCATTCTCTGTCATTCATTCTCTCTCTCTCTCTCTCTCTCTGTCATTCTTTCTGTCATTCTCTCTCTGTCATTCATTCCATCTCTCTCTCTCTCTCTCTCTCCATTTATTTCTTTCCCCAAGAAGAGCATAGTTCTATCTCTGTAAACTTTATTCATCATAGCTATTGATAACAGTTACCCTGTGGTAAGGTAGGGCGGCCAATAAAGTTTATAAATATTGAAAATGGTCTAGCCTCACTGAACACCTGCATTTTTATCTCTCTTTTTTTTGTTTTTGTCCTTTGGAGGTTTTTTTTTTTTTTTAATCATTTTGAGAAAGTTTTGTGATTGAACCTGTAAACGAGCAGTGAGAAATAGAAAAAAACCGTACGGGTCCCATCCTGCTGCCGAGGTTGCAGCTGACAAAAAGATTCATAAAAGTTGATTTCGTTTTTTAACTTGTGCTTTTATTTTTAGATGGAATGGATGGAGCTCTTCTATTCTCCCTAGTGAAAGATACTACAAAAATTAACATAGAACCGTAAGTGAAATGGCGATAGTTCTTAATCAATGGACGCAATAACATCTTACATTCTCCCCTTTTTAAGGATCTGTAGCAAGCACGATATTTAGGCTGTGGTAACTATTCTTCCGGGTTTTACATCTCTTTTCTGTCCTTTCAGGCACATTAACATTGGGAGCCGGTTCCAGGCAGAGATCCCTGATCTCCAAGACAGATCAAATCTAGAGGACTACGAGCACCCAGCCTCACTAGTCTGGAAGCCCTGGGGGGACATCGTCACCAACAAGGAAACCCAGAAAAGAGGTGCATTGACAGTTTTGCCTCTTTTTGAGACTCTTCCCACCCCACATGCAGACTCTTCTTTTACTTCTACAGGTAGTCCTCAACTTATGACCCCAATGGACCCCCAGTTTTCCGTTGCTAAGTGAAAAAAATTTGTTAAGTGAGTTTTGCCCCGTTTTACAGCTTTCCTTGCCACAATTGTTAAATTAATCACTACAAGTTACTAACTTGTTAAGTTAGTAACACGGTTGTTAAGTGAATCCAGCTTCTGCATGTCCGAAGGTCGCAAAAGGAGTTTGCATGACTCCAGGACATAAATAAGAGTCAGATGCCAAACGTCCGAATTTGGATCACCTGACCCTGGGAATGCTGCCGCGGTCGTAAGTGTGAAAAAACGGTCATAAGTCACTGTTTTCAGTGGCTGTTGTAATTTTGAACCGTCACCAGATGAAACTGTTGTAAGTTGAGGACCATCTGCATGCTATTGTAATTGCGATTCCCGGCCGAGCAGAACGTGACGTCTCCTTAAAACAAATTATCCTTCTAAAAACAAAATTCCTTTGCAGTGGCAGATCTGCTAAAGCTGGCCTGCTCCAGCGCGATGCCAGGCGGAGGAACCAATTTAGAACTAGCCATACATTGTCTGCATGAAGCCCAAGGAAACATTTTGGTAAGATGGAGGCTTTTTTTTTTTGCCACGTGTGAAAAACCCTGTTTCCTCTTTCAAATGAACAATTCTAGGGAATCACTTAATGGTAAGGCTGCTTCTTGCGGAGAGCGATTAGGAGTCGTTGGTTGGGGGCACACATTGCAGGAAACCTGGTTTGTTAAACAGGCCGTTTTAGCCAGCTGCATTCAGAATACTGCACCATATTGTGGTATATTAAACATAGTGGTTGATGGCACGTGTAATAACCCAAAAGCAAATGAATCGTATTAAAGCTTAGCATAGTGCATACGCCCATATCATCTAAACAGGGTGGGGAACCTTGGCTCTTTTATGATTTGTGGACTTCAACTCCCAGAATTCCTGAGCCAGCTGTGCTGAGGGGAAAGGGAGAGGTTTCCAAGCTGAGCCATGCTGGCTGAGGAATTCTGGGAGTTGAAGTCCATGAGTCATAAAAGAGCCAAGTTTGAAGACCCCTGCTCTAAAGGTACAAACCAGAAGTTCCACCGGATGTAGAGTTGGTCTATAGCAGGGGTAGGCAACCTTGGCTCTTTTATGACTGGTGGATTTCAACTCCCAGAATATCTGAGCCAGCCGCGCTGAGGGGAAAGGGAGAGGTTGCCATGCTGAGCCATGCTGGCTCAGGAATTCTGGGAGTTGAAGTCCACCCATCTCCGAGTGGCCAAGGTTGAAAAATACAGGCCTAGGCCAGGGGTAGGCAACCTTGGCTCTTTTATGATCGGTGGACTTCAACTCCCAGAATTCCTGAGCCAGCCACGCTGAGGAGAAAGCAAGAGGTTTCCAAGCTGAGCCATGCTGGCTCAGGAATTCTGGGAGTTGAAGTCCACCAGTCATAAAAGAGCCAAGGTTCCCCACTCTTGTTCTAAGATTTCCCCGACTGCTTCTATTCAACAAGAGTTCATGAGCGTCTTCTCTAAAAATTCTAGGAAGCGCTGGAGATGATGCTACTCCAAGGGCCACAGAAGCCTCCTGGCCATCCTCTGGCTAACTACCATTACTCAGGTAAACGACGACGATGACCTTAGTTGGTCAGGATATAGCCAAGGTGTTAAGATAAAATTAAATAAATTTAATAAATAAAATTATTTATTTAATAAATAAATAAAATTAAAATTTAGGAGCTGGAGCAGTGGGGTCGTGCAGTGTGCCAGAACACACAATTGTGGTTGATTGGGTTGCTGTGGCTATGGAGAGGGTATTTCTCCCTCTCATGTGCCCTGTGTGCTCTGTGATTTACCTCAGGATGCTCCTGTTTGCCTGGCAAAATTAAGCCAAAGGGAGGCAATAAAAGAGGTTCATTTCACAGGGGCGATAGGCCGTTGAAGGGATTGCCTCTATTGCTAATTTGTTTCTTCTTGGAATTCCAGGTTCACATCTGTGGACTCCTGCTGAGAAGCAGTTGTTCAAGAAAGCCTTTGCCTTGCACAAGAAGGACTTCTACCTCATACAGAAGAAGGTAGCCTTTCCACCAAGGACAGCTTTTATTTCCTCTTTCAAAAAACATGTCCTTTGTTCGGAATACTCTAGCTTTTTTTTTCTTCCCTTTACAGCCCATCAGTTGTTCCAAGGGTGCACAGCTCAGTGCTCATTTACACTGGAGTAGTTGAGGTTATTTTCTGTCACAAGTAGACCTCGACTATTCGTTCAGTGAACATTCAGAGTTGTGACGGCACTGGAAAAAAAAAAACTTGACTTAGGACCGTTTCTCACACTTACGACCGTCGCAGCCTCCCCTCAGTCACATGATCAAAACTCGGACGCTTGGCCACTGGCTCGTACTGAACGACAGTTGCTGTGTCCCGTGGGTCACGTGATCGCCTTTTGCGACCTTTGGACAAGCAAAGTCAAGGGAATTCACTTAACAACCGGGTTACTAACTTAACAACTGCCACAACTGTGGCAAGAAAGGTCGTAAAATGGGGCAAAATTCACTAAGCAACTTGTCTTGCTTAGCAGTGGAAATGTTGGGCTCAGTTCTGGTCGTAAGTTGAGGACTGTCTGTGCCTGAATCGCAATCTGATCTCAAATCTTTTTTGAAGACGGAAGGTGTGCCGAGAAAGACAGCAGTTCCATCTTGTTTGGTTTAGCAGTTTCAAATGACTCCTCCTGTTTTGGCCGTATTGAAATTATTTCTTCTTTCCTCCTCCTCCTCCTCCAATAGATACAGACTAAGACTGTTTCTCAGTGTGTCGAATACTACTATAGTTGGAAAAAAATATTAAAATTCGACTGCAACCGAGCGCCAGTGGGAGAAAAGAGAGCCAGGACTGAGCAGGATGAGCTAGAATTGGATGAAGAAAAGGTAGAACAAGTTTGAAAAGTTGGTTGGGGACGACAGCTGAGATTTAGGATTTTAAAAAAGCTACATTTCCCCCTCTTTTCCTGTACCCAGTGCTTACTTTAGAAAACTGCAGCCAATTTTCACGGTCATGCAGGGGGAGATTTCCCCAGTCTGTTTCTCTTTCCCTTTCCTGAAGCTGTCGGAATAAATATTTGTCTGTAAAAATTCGTGGCATTTTTCCGTATTTGTATTTTGCAATCTGGAAAGTGGTTCTTTCCACACCATTGCAGCTTGTTGACTTTCAGGGTAAAAGTTGTGACAGCTCCTTTGGGCTGCTCATAACTGTTAAGCACAGTGACCGCCTCCTAAATTAGAAGTGACTGTACTGTACCCATTTGAAGATTGCACCCTGCAGTTTTCCAGAAAGGGCTGGCGAATTTATTTTTTAATCCTTAAGATATAAATGGAGGCTTTCGGGAAGCCGAACCCTGTCCTAGAGCCCTGTTCCAAACATAAACAAAATTGAAGGCGAATATACGTGTCCCGGGATAATAATATTGCAGGAGCCAATCTGGATCAGTCACCAGGACCAGAGGTTTCGTCTTCCGAATTTTGGGACTCGTGCTGGTGCCGTCCTCGGGGAACTTCTCTCTAGCAGAGTGCGTTCTTTGGCCTATTAAGTGCCTCACCCCTCACACAAGAGCCCAAAGCACAATCCGACCCAGATTGGATCCTGCAATCAACAAAACTGTGAAATGCAAAATCCATCTGGCTATTGTAAGAATGCCAGTTTGAAACGTCCTACGATTGATTAAATGCATCGGTAATGACAGTTTTCCATTTATTGATTTATTGATTGGTTGATGTACAAATGATTCTGATACTGGTGCACCTGTGTGGCAGATAAGCACAGGATTTGATGATTGTATTTTTCAGCTTTTTTTCCTGGGATCGACAGGAAACAAGCTCTGTGTTCTTTGCACCTGTTAACCATCCTGAATAAAAACAGGACTGTAGCAGGTAGCAGTGGACCAAATCCCCCGTTCACACAGTCTGCCGTTTATTTTACTAAGTACTAAACCAATCGTGTGATTCAGCTTAATCTCTGCTTTGCTCCTGACAACTACGTTCATGTCTGCAGAGATTGATAGATGCATTGCATTAATGTTTTTATTGCACGGGTCCTATATTGTGTTTTTGGCACGCTTCTTGTGTGAAAATGCTTTCAGAACACTTTGTTGGCTTTGCCAAAACATAGTGGGATGAAATGGAAGTCCATTTTCCCAAAGAGACTTGCTTAGCATCCTCTTCTCAAATTAATTTATCTTAAAATCAATCTTTCACTCTGGCTTTGATGTAATTGTTTCAGCTTTGCTTGGGTCATGTTGTGGTCCTCGCCCTTACAGGTAGTTCTCGACTTATGACCGGTTGCTTAGCAACCGTTCAGTTATGACGGACGCCCCCCCCTCCCAAATGGTACTTACAACCCAGATTAGAAGTTCCAACAGCCTGGGAGCCCCCCCCCCTCAGTCACATGATTCCATTTTGGGTGTTCGGCATTATCTCAGTCACGTGACTGAGATGTATGACTTTTTTTTTTTGCCAGAAACCAACGTTAACTTTTGGTTTCTGGTAAAAAACAGACATTGTGGACAATGGGGTCCACTTAACAACCAGGTATTCTGCAGATTCATTTACCCACTACTGCACAAAAAGTCATAAAGTCGGGTCAGGCCCGTGACGGCCCCTTTAACAACCAGCACAACTTAATGACCATAATTCCAGGCTCCATTAAGGTCATAAGCTAATGATGGCCAGAACGGTCTTTCTTTCTGGCTTTCACATGGCTTTTTAGGGTTATTGTATTGATCTATTGAATAATAGTTTGGGGCGATGGTGCTTTTAATTAAAGGTTCCGTCTGAACATTTCTCAAGTAACGTTTATCATTGGAAAGCAAATGAACTGCGAGTAATTAAAGCCACCCATGGATATTCCATGACTTGCAGATTGTATGCAGCCCCAAGAAGAGGCACTGCCACCTGCCTGAACAGGAGAATAAGCTGAAGTCAGGACTTACAAAAAGCAGCGCAGGGGGCCTTCAGCCCAACCAGCCCAGAGGACGTTCCAAGATGACCCCAGAGCGCAGGCATTCAGGGTGTCTTCCCTTGTAAGATTGCTCCAGGTAGTACTGCATCTTGTTCAAACCTTTTGACGGTTTTGGGCGAATCGTGTTTGGTTTATCTGCGTTAATCTCTAAAAGAGCGCTCCCCGCGCTTCCCCGTTTGTCGTGTTAACGGTCACTGTGCTGTGGCACCTCAGAAGTTTTGCCTTCATCTGATGGCCTTGGTCCATGAGCATCAGAAAAAGCTGAGCAAAGAGAGCCTGTTTTAATTTATTTTTTTAATTTTTATTAGTTTATTTTATTTGTTATTTTATTTTCGTCCCGTCCGTTTGTCATGACTCTGGTCAGCTTATAATTAAAAAAAAACCACATTTTACATTTGAATACTAAAAAAAATTTTTTTTAAACAATAAAACAAATATATCAACAAAGGGCAGCCAAGATACTTGGCCAGTTAACAAGACAGCGAGCTCTCCATACTCGGAATACAGCCAGGTTTTAGACCTTAAAAAAAGGCTAACAAGGGTTGGAGCCACTCTTAATTTCCAAGGGAGGGATGTTCCATAGAGCAGGGGCCACTGCAGAAGAGGCCCTGCTTTCTCGACCCCTGCCAGCCCTGACATTCGTTGGCTGACGGGAATCTGAACCTGCCTGTTCTGCTCAACTATTGTATGGTAGGGGGTCTTGTGGGGGAAAAGTGATCGCTTTGGTACCCCAGTCCCAAGCCGTGTAGGGGTTTAAAGGTGCCACCAGTTCCTTGAATTTATTTATTTATTTATTTTTAGAATTATAAGCTGCCCACCCCCAGAGGACTCTGGCGGCTAACAATAAAACCATAAACATAACAAAACAAACAGTAAAGAACAGTCATCCAGGGATCAGTTATAAACCCAGGCCTGGCGGAAAAGCCAGGTCTTAAGCAGCTTGTTGAAAAACCAACCTGGTGGAGCGGTCCTAACTCCGGGGAGCTGGTTCCAAGAGGTGGGCGCCATCGACAGCAGAAGGCCCTCATCCACGCCCCGCCAAATGGCACTGCTTTGCCGAGCAGGTACCTGAGGAGGCCCAGCCTGTGGGATCTAATCGGACGAAGGAACTATGATGTAGTAGGGCCAGTTGTTCCTCAACCTTTCTAATGCTGTGACCCCATAATACAGTTCCCATGTTGTGGTGACGCACCCAACCACTTATAAATTCACCGGGTGCCCAGGGGTGTGGCCAAGAAAAGGGGGATAAAATTGGCAGACAGCCTTGTTTGGCGACCCCCGTGAAATGGTCGTTCGCCCAAAATGGGGTTCCCGACCCACAGGTTTGAGAAGCACTGTAGTAGGCGGTCTCGCAAATGCCTGGCCCTGGGCCATATAGGGCACCCAGAAAACACACCAGTAAGCAAATGCATCTCACGCAGAATGGTGTTACCACGTGCTCCATATCTGCACTTGTCCTGTCTGTCTGTGGAGAGAGACTGTACATCTGAAAAGTGCTGTCCTCTATTTACCTCTAGGTGTTTGAACAAGATAAAAAGTCGAGAAACGCTCACATGAAGCGCCATCAGCCTTCCAGGAGCAAATGGAGCCGATGAAAAGATTAAGTGGCCCATCAAGCACTTGAAAAACGAACCGAAGAAGGAAGGTAAAACCTTGGCATGGATTTCCTCCCGGGTAAACTGTTAAGGAGAATTTCGTGGTAAGTGCTGTTAAAACTACTGTATGCCCAGAAAAATGGGAAAAAAAAATCAGGTTTTCTTTTAAATTATGTTTAACGCTGCCAATAGATAAACGATTCCTAGGGCTGCTTTGGCATCCCTGGGTCTGAGTTAGTTCAAATGGGAGGCCAGCTACATCGGAAAAGATCATCCATCCCTCACTACAGTTATTGAAGGCCAGAGTTTGACATCCTGGGCAAGTAGGTAATTCATGTATAATTTTGACACGATTCCAGTGTCCTCAGCTTCCACTTTACTCTAGGAAACAGTTTTCTCAATCCACCTTGACATTTTTACGGCATGTTGGATTCAATCCCAGAATTCCACAGCCACAAATCGTTGCTGGCTTGGATTCTGGGAGTTTGAAGTCCCATGCCTTAAAATAGTCAAGGTTGAAAACACTGCTCTAGGAAAAGCTGAATAAGTTGAAGGCAGGGAAATCACTGGGACCCATGGACAGGGAGTCATAAAAAAAGTTACAAAAGAATAAGGAACGTTAAGGTGGTAGAACGACCGTTGATGCCAGCATTTTTGTTGGCAAATCCATTTTAACACCCTAGTATCTCTGTTCCAGAATTATTAACCTCTTGTTGCAACAGAAACAAAAAATTAATAAATACAGCATCTCACAGATCACTTATTCTTGATGTCATCTTTAGCCATTGTATTAAGTATTTGGAGGCGCTTCTGTGCCCGTACAGATTAAACAGAAAGCTTCAATATTATATCGCACCGGACAAAACTTTTATCCATCATACATGCCTTTAACGAATTAAGCCTGCATTCCATTTTAGATACAAAGACTTGGAATAGGTTTTTTAAGTTTGTGTCAAGATTCCTGATCAGGCTGTTTCAAGGATGTTTCTGAATGTAATCCTCCCAACTATAAGGGGTGTTAATGGTGTTCTACAGAACAGGCTGATTCAGAGGATAACTTCTGACTTCCAGATTTGAAGGTGTAACTCTTAACGTAACTTAACAGTTGATTTAACTTACAAATCACATCTCTGCGTAATCATATTTAGTTGTATGTCTTGTTTCAATTGAAAAGGTACGATACTCCCTTATTCTCTCCTCTTGCTCTCTCTCTCTCGTTCATCCCTCCCGCATCTGTGTCCTTGTAGAGTTCTGTTAATACTAATTTTTTTTTTTTTGGAGGAGAAAAATAGACTCAATCAATGATAATTGCCATTGTATTTTTCGTATCTTTTTTTCTGTGACTGATAGTTGTACAACTGCGTTTTTGATTCCACTCTAATAGTACCGAAGTGATTCTGGGGTTCTTGTTTATTTTGTATATGTTGGGTATTAAATTGGGTTTTTTGCAACCAAAACTGCAAGAGCTTTCCTGGATTTATTCTTTGGTTCGCCTGATCAAAACCATAGCGATGAAATCCAAGGAGAACGTGACTTCGGTTGTGTGTTTTGATAAGAACCCGTCAGCCCTTCCAGTTGACCAGATCAAGAGACAACATTCCATAGGATGCAGAAAATTATTGACGAAGTGCCAGGTGTGTAAATTCTAACTTTATTGCTACCACCACCTACATTACTAGAATCTCTCCCCAGACTGCTTGGCATCCTCTGGGAAAAATACCAGGTAACGGCTTTATGGATTTTGTGAGCAGGTGCATCAAGCCTGTGCCATTTGTTGGCTATGCAAGGACTCCAAGCTAGGCCCTTGTTTGACTCCTCCTCTCCAGCCTGGCTGGGCTAGGTTCCCACCGACAGGTAACAAAATTTTGCACACCTCGTCTCATGTTTTACATTACCCTCCTTTTTACTTCCTCGAATCAGAGAGGAGTCCAGCCAGGCCTCCATCTCCCATTCCCTTTAGAAGCGGTTCTGTCTGTGTACCGAATGGTTTCTGAGAGCTTTGCTTCGAGCTATTTCCCTTGCTTTTAACAGCATCCAAAGGTATTATTACAGGTGGCCCTTGACTTACACATTCGTTTAATGACCGTTCAGAGTTAACTCTACTGATGACGAGTTTTTCACTACCTCAGGACTGTTCAGCATCCTCATCCTCACAGTCACACGATCAAAAATGTTGGCACTTGGCAACAGGCAGGTAGTTACGACAGTTGCGCTGTCCCTGTCATGTGATCACCCATTTGTGACTTTCCCACTCCGTTTCTGACAAGCAAGTAATGGGTTAAGCTGGATTCGCTTAACGACCATGCAATTTCGCTTAACAGCTCCATGACAGCTGTGGCAAAAAGGTCTAAACTGGGCAAAAACCTCCTTAACTTTGCTTAGCAATGGACAATTTTGTCTTAATTGTGATCGTAAGTCGAGGACTTCCCTGTAGATATGGATAAAAAGCACCCAGCCACAGCCACGCAACCTTTGCCTTCTATCTTCTTTTTCTTTCTGATGCAGCTAACTAGCTTTGTGCTGAGACCATTCGCCGATTGCTATCTCGCTTCGATCTTTCTTTGTGTACATATTCAAAATATTTTACATAAACCTCAGACGTGCCCGTAAACAACAGTAGACAGATGACTTGTTATTTTCTTTATTTTATCCCCTGAATCGATTCCATCTCCCAACAGACTCATCTAACCTTGTTTAACCTTGTTTCAGTTTATTGGCACCACGATATTGCATAAGTGACAAGCTCATATAGGAAGTGGGAAAACAACCTATGGAATTAATAGTTGGATTGCCAATCCTGTTTACCCCCATTGCCAGAATACAGTTGTATCTCGGTATTCATCGTTAATTGGTTCTGGTGGGGGGGGGCGCAATGATACCAAAAACGAAGAGTAGCAACTCTTGCTTGACCAGCCATGCTGAGGGGAAGGGAGAGTTTTTAAAGTGATCCTCGAGTCATGAGGGGGCCATAGTTCCCCCATGCTGGCTCAGGAATTCTGGGAGTTGAAGTCCACGAGTCATAAAAGAGACAAGGTTACCTGCCCCTGGTCTAGGCCTGTATTTCTCAATCTTGGCCACTCGTAGATGGGTGGACTTCAACTCCCAGAATTCCTGAGCCAGCATGGCTCAGCTTGGAAACCTCTCCCTTTCCCCTCAGCATGGCTGGCTCAGGAATTCTGGGAGCTGAAGTCCACGAGTCATAAAAGAGCCAAGGTGGCCTACCCCTGCTCTATATGGTAGTCATTTAAGGAAGACATCTGAAATTATTTCAACTTTCCTTCTTAACCCTCTTTCCAAAATAGCGGAGGCATGAATCTAGTTCTCCAGTTAAATTTCATGGTTTCCCAGACCCACCTGCCTTCCAAGCAGACACCTGAATCTTTTTAGAAGAGCAACAGGAATGTCCTTACTCTCCCACCTGTTTTAAGTACTGGGTAGTCCTCGAGTTGCAACAGTTCATTTAGTAACCGTTCAAAGTTACAACGGCACTGAAAAAAATGACTTATGACCGTCTTTCCACACGTACAGCCGTTGCAGCCTCCCCACGTGATTCGCGTCACAACTGTGGCAAGAAAAGTCGTCGTAAAATGGGGCAGAACTCACTTAACAAATGTGTCAGCCACAGAAATTTTGGAGTCAATTATGATCATACATCAAGGACTACCCGTATGTCTCATTTTTTTTTCTTTAAAGCTAGTCTTATTTACAGGACAATCTGCACAACAGGGAGAAACCCACGTAAAGCTTAGGGCAGTAGGCAAACTGATTTTTAAGTTAAAGGACGAGCTCAAACCTTACTGCCAGTTTGACTAAAGTGACCTGAAAATCATGTTATCCTTTTTAAAAACTGATCCTCCTCTTCCCTTCTCGGGGCATTGGCTGCATCAGGATACACTGATTTCTTATGCTCTTCCCATGCCTGTTTTTTTTTCAATACTGGCTGTGTGCAGACTTACTCAGATTCTCGTTCCCGTTTCGCATCGATTCTAAAAAGTCAAAATTCTGGTGCAAGAAAAGAATTTGGTCCAGGTTTTCGGGGGCCAGTACACCTCTCCGGTGCTCCAGCGCACTTTCGCCAGCGGCAAAGGCCTGATCCGGTGGAACAACTGTCGCCGGTATAGCCAAATATTGCCGGGCTAACCGGGCCACCGAGGGGAAGCGGTGTTCGTTGCTCTTCCACCAATCCAAGGGGTTAGTGCTACGCTTGCAAAGGGGTTCCACGATGTAGTTCTCCAGCTGCTGATGGATCTCGGGCATGCTCTCCGTCGGGTCTTTCCCCAGAAGGATATCATACATACTTTGAGATTGTCCACTTGAACCTCTTTCCTGGTGAGCAGCAAGCTGGCCGGCTGCTTCACTGACCTCTGCTTTGTAATCGGAATTGGGCACCCAGAACTGGGTGGTCAGCGGTGTCTGAGGATTGAAGAACTGGGACAACGTGGCCTTGATTTTTTTGTGCAGCTCACTCCGCAGGCTTGGGCTGAGAAACCTCATTTCCTTGAATCGAGGGTCTAGAAACGATGCGATGACCGCCGGGCTCTCCAGCAACTTGGCTTCATCCAAGATACCCCAACACTGGGTGAGCTCACCTCTGATATTGTGGACCACTGTCTTGATGATGCCGCTGGCTCCTTCCGCCTGTTGCCCAATGGCGGTGATGATGCCATGGATGCAAGGCATCAGGGAGGCGACGGAGAAGTTTTGCTCTTCTCGCAAGAACGACGTGGCGATCTTAAGTGTCCTCATCACGGGCACCAGGTCCTGCAAGAGCTTCCACTGGTGATCGGCCAAATTCTGGACCACCGAAGGCCCCTTGGGATGTTCCTCCAGCACAGACATGATGGCCCACTTGAGGTCCAACAGGCATTCGCACATCTCGATAGTCGTTATCCAGCGAGCCCCAGTGTCCATGACCAGTTTCAGCTTGGTCTTGTTGATAGCTTCCAGTTTGCTGTTGAGGGAGCAAGTAGCTTTGGCATCTTGCTGGAAATAACAGACGACGCTTCGAGCAGCCGCCAACGCTTCCTGCACCTGCTCCACCTCAAGGCCCGCCTTGACGCAGAGGTGGAGCAGGTGAGCTGCGCAGCAAAGGCTGGTCCAACCATAGGTGCATTTCAGGTGGGACGAATTGGCCTCCAAATCCTGCAGGCTGTCGTGCATCATGCAGAAAACAGATTTGTTGGACAGCCCAAAGTCCGCGAGGACTGCATACAGCCTGTCTCCCAGGCTGCGCCCTGCTTTGTTCTCGTGGACCTGCTGGCTCTCCAGGATGCATCTTGCCCGCCGCCATTCTCCGTCGATAAAATTAGTCACCATCGTCAGGTACCTCTGGTTGGGGTGAGACAGCCAGAATTCGGCGCAGATGACAATCGATTGAGCTGTCTGCAGGTAGCGTTCCAGATGTTGCTTGACCACATTGTATCGATGCCACAACATGCTAGAGAGCTGCACTGGAGAGGGCAGAACAAAGCTAGGTTCTAAGTAGCCAATGAGAAGGCCAAAACCTTTGTCTTTCACAACAGAGAGCGGATGCAGGTCCCGAAAGATCATTTCTAGCACCAGTTCCAGGATCACATCCGACCTGGGTTCCGTGCAGGCCACAGTGTGATACGGATTGTTGTTCTCCGGGGTCAGCTGGCGAGCTCTTTTTATGGCGTTCTCCTGAGCTGCGTAGTCCGGGTCGGGCGCCTGGTCGTCCTTCAGCTGCGAGAGCAAGGTGTCACGGATGCTGTGCTTCCGCACCAGATGTTCCCGCATGGTGGTGGTGCTGTTGTGGAAGGACAGCTGCTTCTTGCAGACATTGCATTCCACGTAGGCGTCGCCCAGCTTGGTATAATAGTTCCAGACTTTGGACTTGCGGCGGTCGACGTAGAGAGACGTGCTGGTCCCGTCGTGGCCGTTGCCTTTCTCGCGCCGCCTCCTGGTACAAGGGCCCAGATTGGCTGGCACTGCACAAGTATTGAAAACCATTGAAATTTCCTCTGTCGAAATGGAACAGGAGAGGAGACAGTAACGGCAAGCATTGTGATTAATGGCAGCACAGTGGAATCGGCCACACATCAAAGGATGGGGATGGGGGAGCTGGGAGGGGGCGCCATTCATCCAAGACTGACATCACCTTCAGGAAAGCGTTATTATAAGGCTACTTGGACTTCGTGACAACTCTTTATTTTAGGGGCATGCCTAGTTTTTATGATATAATCACTCTGTCCCTTACAAATTAGGAGGATGTTGGTTTAGTGGTTAAGATGCTGGCCTAGAAATCAATAGACAGTGAGTCCTGCCTTAGTCATGAAAGCCAGCTGGGTGACTTTGGGCCAATCACTAGGGAATGGTAAGTTCTAGTCCCGCCTTAGGCATGAAAGCTGACTGGGTGACTTTGGGCCAATCACCAGGAGACTGGGAGTTCTAGTTCCGCTTTAGGCCTGAAAGCCAGCTGGGTGACTTTGGGCCAATCACCAGGACAGTGAGTTCTAGTCCCGCCTTAGGCATGAAAGCCGACTGGGTGACTTTGGGCCAATCACCAGGAGATGGTGAGTTCTAGTCCCGCCTTAGGCATGAAAGCCAGCTGGGTGACTTTGGGCCAATCACCAGGGAACGGTAAGTTCTAGTCCCGCCTTAGGCATGAAAGCTGGCTGGGTGACTTTGAGCCGATCACCAGGAGACAATGAATTCTAGTCCCGCCTTAGGCATGAAAGCCGGCTGGGTGACTTTGGAACAATCACCAGGAGACAGTGAGTTCTAGTCCCGCCTTAGGCATGAAAGCCAGCTGGGTGACTTTGGGCCAATCACCAGGGAACGGTAAGTTCTAGTCCCGCCTTAGGCATGAAAGCTGGCTGGGTGACTTTGAGCCGATCACCAGGAGACACTGAATTCTAGTCCCGCCTTAGGCATGAAAGCCGGCTGGGTGACTTTGGAACAATCACCAGGAGACAGTGAGTTCTAGTCCCGCCTTAGGCATGAAAGCCAGCTGGGTGACTTTGGGCCAATCACCAGGGAACGGTAAGTTCTAGTCCCGCCTTAGGCATGAAAGCTGGCTGGGTGACTTTGAGCCGATCACCAGGAGACAATGAATTCTAGTCCCGCCTTAGGCATGAAAGCCGGCTGGGTGACTTTGGAACAATCACCAGGAGACAGTGAGTTCTAGTCCCGCCTTAGGCGTGAAAGCCAGCTGGGTGACTTTGGGCCAATCACCAGGGGACGGTGAGTTCTAGTCCCGCCTTAGGCATGAAAGCCAGCTGGGTGACTTTGGGCCAGTCCCTCTCTCTCAGCCCAACCCACCTCACAGAGTAATTGTGGGGAAAGCAGAAGGAGGAAGGACATATGCTTGCCACCTCGACTTACTTATAGAGTAGTAGAGGCAGGAGAAACATCTAATAAACAAATAAGACAAATAAAGAAATCTGCTTAAAGAGAGCCACCCAGAGTTTGCTTTCCGCTGGCTGGGGAATTCTGGGAGTTGAAGTCCACCTGTCTTAAAGTTGCTAAGGTTGGAATACACTGTTCTAGGTGCAGAGATTCCTGGAGGAGAGATTCCCGTACCTTGCACTGTCTGAGGATAGGATGGCATGACTAGAGGGAGGCTTTGAACTTCCAAGATCTCCTTGGGTGGAGGACCCCCCTCGCTGTCCTCTAGTTTGACGCATTTCTGTAAGAAGTCACTGATCCTTTTGGAGCCCACATCTTCCATTTTGGTCTTAAAGTGAGGATCAAGGGGAAAAAAAAATAGCACAGTAGCATTAGAAATAACAAGCAGGCCGATCTGCTTCACCAAGAGCTACTACGGGGCCAAATAACTCCACATAATCCACCTTGCAGGAGAATGAAATGAAAAAAAAATGAAGGATTTACACGATTGAGACCCAAGCCAGGGGTAGGCAACCTTGGCTCTTTTATGACTGGTGGACTTCAACTCCCAGAATTCCTGAGCCAGCCATGCTGAGGGGAAAGGGAGAGGTTTCCAAGCTGAGCCATGCTGGCTCAGGAATTCTGGGAGTTGAAGTCCATGAATCATAAAAGAGCCAAGGTTGCCTATCCCTGGTCTAGGTTTATGCTAACCACACAGCCCAGCTCCCTTGAGGACAGGGGTGGGCAACCTTGGCCCTTTTATGACTCGTGGACTTCAACTCCCAGAATTACTGAGCTGGCACGGCTAAGCTTGGCAACCTCTCCCTTTCCCCTCAGCATGACTGGCTCAGGAATTCTGGGAGTTGAAGTCCATGAGTCATAAAAGAGCCCAGGTTGCCTACCCCTGGCTTAAGCTATAAAAGTAAATTCCGAACAAAGTGCCCGAATTTTCTGAGCCAGACTATTAATATGATGAAATTATTTAGAAATCCCTTTGTCCTAGTACTCCAAATTTCTTTTTATATATATATATATATATATATATATATATATATATATATATATATATATATATATATAAAGTCTATTTATCACGATTGGCTTATATAACGAATAGGCACTGTATGTTTAATATGGTTAATTAATTACACAATTTATTCAGTTGCTTGTTTCTTGTGATCTCAGACCCATAACGCTATTTATTCAAAAAGTTTGCAGCCCCATATTGCTAGAGCAGCCTAGCTGGTGGTTTTTTTTTTTTTAGATAAAAAAAAAAATTCCAACCCCCATAATTTTCAAAGGCCATGCTGGTTGGAGTGAATGGGAATTGTAATCCAGCACAGCTGGAATGCACCAGGTTAGGAAAAGCGACGATGCAGTATCGGTTGCACACTAGACAGTGTTATTCTCCCTCAAAAAATTCTGTATGCTGCTGTAACCACCTAAAAAGAAAAACTAGTATCATGTATGTGCTCGCAGCATGCCTGTTTGGAACAGCAATTTAAAAGAAGGATGCTAATTTTAATCTATTCTTTTGCCCGTATTGATTTCCCCAATGACATCGGTTTATCAATTTCGTCCGATGACGGAGGAGCTGCTTCAAAACACAGCTACTTGAATCTGGAGGGAGGCTGGGAATCAGGTTTTCATTCCCACCCAAGGCTCAACACGACCTTGCTGACACACTCACCGGATCCGTCAACCAGGAAAGCCAACGGTTCCTTTGGGACAGATGGATTTTCTGCTGGAATTCCACTCTGCCCATCCCACCTTTTTCCCCCGTGGAAAAATCCCCCAACCCGTCCAATGCAGCTTTTGGAGCAGCAAAAAGCAAAAGTTTTCAAGAAGCAAAGGCAACCGAGAGGCACTCCCAGAGAGAACAGCTGTGCCGATACTCACTCCTTTGTTATCATGAGCAGAGTGCAGCTTGCAGTTCTTTGCGGTCTCACAGCTCCTGGTGCAGCCAAGTGGGATTACAGGCTAACCTTTCTTCGGGAAGTGATTCCTTTAGGGCTCCTCTAAAAAGTTCCCAGCAGGGCTAAAAGCGTCCTTGGATTAAGGGGGATTCACCCCGAGACAGCCAGGCTAAGACTGTTTCTGCTTTTTCATTTTGAAAGCTTGCCCTCCCTCTCCTGGCAAGCTGCAAAGGATTCCCCTGCCCTTATTTATTATTATATTATTAGTTTTCTATTATTATTACATTTCATTAGTGCTTGATAAACATCGTGTCATCTGGGTTACATTTTCTGTTGCTTAGTAATACAAATTATATTCCTAGTCTCCACACCGTTTTTCCAGCCACTGATAAAATAAATTCCATGCTTGAAAATATTCTGTATCTTCTTCCTCTCTAATCCTCAGCGTGAGTCTGTCCATTTCAGCACAGTCCAAGATCTTCTTAATTATCACTTCCTCTGATGGTGTTTCTTCCTTCTTCCAGTGCTGAGCTAACAGGTATTAACAGTGACCTTATAACAGTGGTTCTCAACCTTTCTAATGCTGCGACCCCATAATACAGTTCCCCATGGTGTGGTGACCGCCAACCACTTATACATCACCGGGTGCCAGGGGCGTGGCCAAAGAAAAGGGGGAAAAATGGCGGACAGCCTTGTTTGGCAACCCCCATGAAATGGTCGTTCGACCCCAAATGGGGTCCCGACCCACAGGTGGAGAACCACTGCCTTATAACAAGACTCGGAAGGGACTTTGACATTGAATATATCCTTTGATTCTCAAGGGGATTGAGCATCCTTTAAAGTGGAACTGCACAGGGAGCCCTCGACTTGAGCCCAAAATGAACGTTGCTAAATGAGAAATTTGTTAAGTGAATTTTGCCCCATTTTAAGGCTTTTCTTGCCACAGTTGTTAAGTGAAACACTGCAGCTGGTAAGTTAGAAACACGGTTGTTAAGTGAATCTGGCTTCCCCATTGACTCTGCTTGTCGGAAGGTCGCAAAAGGGGATCACGTGACCCCGGGACACTCACCCATCATGAGTCAATCGCCAAGCGTCTGAATTTTGATCACATGACCACGAGGATGCTGCAACGGTCGTAAGTGTGGGAAAACGGTCCTAAGTCACCTTTTTCAGTGATGTCGTAACTGTGAGCTGTCACTAAACGAACCATTTTAAGTTTGAGGATTTCTTGTATGCATTTGCGAAGCCAAGTTTTGCAACAAGCATGCATTGCCTGGAGAAAGACACTTTTTAATCACATTTAACGATTTATTTCACACTGCTCTTGTCTTTAGAGCGCCACTTGGGTGTAGTGGGACTTCAACTCCCAGAATTCAAGCCCAACAACTGGCCTACAACTCCCATCATCCACAGCCCAGCCGGCTGAGGATCGTGGCCAATTTGGAGGACCCTCAAACCGAAGCGAAGCATTTCCGTAGCCTGGAAAACGGATTTCAACCCTTCCCTCCCGTATATAAAAATGGTACAGCCCAACTCGGCCTTAGCACCCTCCTACCCCCCCACCCCCGTCCTGGACTGTACCACCGAAGCGGTCTTCCCTGGCGGTGGCGGCCGCTGGCCTCACGTGATGCTGGTGAGTCAGCACAGCCTGGGTCACGTGAGAGAGAATCCGGCGGCGTGCGTGCGTGCGTGCGTGCGTCGGTGGCCCAGAGGGCGCGGCCTAGATCACGTGCTGGAGGAGGCGGGAATTACAGGCGCTGCCGACACCGCCCATTGGCTGTGCGTGCTGACGTGGGGGCGTCAGGCGACGTCTCTTCTTTTTCCCCCTCAGCCGTGAGGGAAAGCGACCGCCGTGAGGGGACAGTTGCTCTCGCTCGACCGTCCACCCGCCCTTTTTTTCTTTCCCCCTCAGCTTCGGCTTCTTCGCGGGGCGCGGGCCCGTTCTCCGCCGGCCATGGCGATGGACACCAGCGGCAAGGAGAAGGAGGCGCTGCAGCTGCTCGCCGAGGCGGACAAGAAGGTCCGCGGCTCCCATGGCTTCTTCTCGGGGCTCTTCGGGTAAGGCCCCGCGCCGCAGTCGCAAGCTGAGAAGGGCGATCTGTCGGGGGGGGGGGAAGCCCGGAGGAAGGGCCGAAGCGGGCCGGCTTCTTCGGCCGTGACGACCCGGAGGCGTCTTGCCCGTCCGGCCGACCTGTCAATGCGGGCCTCGTCTCTGGATTGCGGGCCTTGCTGCTTTGCGGCACTTCCTTCCCTTCGGCGGGGTCGCGGCGGGCTTTTTTAGGGTAGAAAACGGTTTTTTTAAGGCCCACTCTAGTAGAGGTGGTCCTCGACTTACGACCACAACGGAGCCCCGAACATTCATGTCGCTAAGCGAGACATCGGCTAAGGGAGCTTTTGCCCCATTTTGTGACCTTTCTTGCCACGGTTGTTGAGTGAAATCGCCACGGTTGTTAAGTTAGTAACACGGTTGTTAAAGTGACTCTAGCTCCCCCGTTGACTTGGCTGGTTGGAAGGTCGCAGAAGGGGATCACGTGACCCCAGGACATACTGCGACCGTCATAAATACAGGCCAGTTGCCAAGTCTCCAGATTTGGATTGTGGGGACGCTGCCACGGTCGTAAGTGTCAAAGTGGTCCTGTCACTTTTCTTCAGCGCTGTTGTAACTTTGAACGGTCACTAAGTGAACTGTTGTAAGTTGAGGACTATCTGTACCCCAAACTCTCATCCTCCCCTTCGTGAAGTTTCAGATTTGAGGAATGACGGGGCTGGAAGGGACCTCGGAGGTCTTCTAGTCCAACCCCTGCCCGAGGCAATAGATTCTCACACATGTATTGTATGAAAAAAATAAATAAATCCTGGTTTAACCACAACCATGGATAGACCTGTCGACTTTTGGGGAAACTTGCCCCTAAAGAGAAACCTTGTTCTTAAAATGCTTGACCCAATTGCCCCTTTTCCCGTCTCAAAGACATTCCACCTACACACCCAAACAAACCCCAGGCCTGTTTTGCCTAAGCATCTCAGTAGAGGCTGCTGCAAACTGACAAAGAAGCAATTGCAAAGTTATCCACAGAGAAGTGAATATTTGTAGCTCAGGGCTGAACTGTAGGGTCCTTGGGGTTCTCCCTGACCTTGGTGGTTTTCTTGTAGACATTTCAGCTGGGGAATATCAGTGCTAGAAGGAGTTGGCATAATTGTCCACATTTGGGGTCTTGTACTAGCATAGAAAAGATGCTGAAGAATGAGAAAATACCCAGTCAACAATGGTCTGTGTGGGCAACATTGCCAGGAACTCAAAAGACGTTGTAAACCATGGATCTTAGTAGTAGTAGTAGTAGTAGTAGTATGATGCTAGTGATTTTTTTTTAACTTCTCAAGGTACTAGAAATATAGTTGAAAAATTCAAGCAGGCAGCAGGCTTAAGCACTATAGAACAACCAGTCTATTCTGATTTAATGAGCTATTCTTTACTTGAAACCCAGTATTTAAAAAAAGGGGCAGATTTTAGTGGTTGACAAAACAGGATTGAAGGATGTCGTAACAAGGATAGATTTCCTGTGCTGAATTATTCTTGTGGAATGACAAAGATATGATTGATGATATTAGAGGATAACAATGTACTTGGTCATTCAGTGTTCTGCCTTGATAAATTTTCATTTGCCTAAAATTAAAATTCTGCTAAACTCTGCAAGTAGTCCCCAAGTTATGATCGCTATTGGGACCAAACTTTCTGGTACTAAATGAAGCGGATATAAAGTGATGTCAGTCCCAGTTGTTATCGTAACTACAGGATCATGTGGATTGTTAAATGGGAAGAGATGGGAGCTCCAGGCAAGGAGTGTGGAGGGTACTGTTGGCCCTAGGAAACACAGGGGGATGGCAAGGTCTGCATGCATATGCTAGGGAATGCAGGGGAGTCTGCAGAGGTGGTGGGGTGGGCTCTAGGGAGTGTGAGCTGGCCAGTGGAGATGTTGCAGACAAGCACTACTGAGTGTAAGCAGGTGATACTTCACAATAGGACTCCTCCAGAGAAAAAATGGTGGCAGCAACTTATAGGATCAACCTGCAGCTTCCCCTGCTGGCTTTCCCATTGACTTTTCTTGTGGGAAGCTGTGAAGGGAAGGTAGTGAATGGCAGTCCCGTGATCACGAGTTGCTGCAACTGCCATAAGTGTGAACCATTTACCCAATGTAACTATGAGTACACTGCAGTGGTTGGAACTTTGAGGACCAGTTTGTAACTACCACTCAGTCAGTGTTGTCATAACTGGCATTGGTTGCTGAATGAGTGGTTGTAAGTCAAGGACTACTTGTAGTGTTAGGAGCTTGCAAGTCAGAAGATTAAACAATAAATTGGTCACCCACAAGAAGATTTGTGTAGATCCAGCTTATCTTCATGGAAGAACATTCTTCAAAACATTCAAGGGATTATTTGTAAGCGAGTGAAGCATATTGCATTGTATTTATTAAATTTATATGGTGCCCATTTCTTCAATAAGGTGACGCTGGGCAGCATAGCAGAACACAAAATCAACTCCCAAGATAACAAAACTGAGAGCACCAAAGTCCTATTGCATTTCAGAAAGAGCTGGAGAATGAAATGCACACATATAGAAAGAAGCTTCTTACAATGAGCGATCTAAAGCAGAAGTCAAATTTTGAATAGATGTTGGATGTCTTAACCAAGTCACTGAGGTTAATAGTTGCCCCATGCCAAAAGTAGGTCAGTTAAGTGGGACAAAATATTTCCCAACCAATTTCTTAAGGTTTATTTCTTAATGCACCTGAGTAATGTCTCTAGTTCAGAAGTTGTTTTTTTCCCCTTTGAAAGTATGATGTGAGTGGAAGAGCAATAGTTTGAACTACAATTTTGTAAGGCTATATGTCTCTTTCCTCCCACAGGCAGTGCAACCAACTGTTGCCAAGTGGGAGATGGGCAAAGAGAGAATGGAGGGTATATGACAAAGGTGGGGGACTCAAGGCTGATTCCTTGTATTTTATATAATGTAAGTCTTGAACCTGAGAGGCGGACACACTTCTGCAGCAGGACATTGGTGTTTATTTTTTCCCACAGGCTGTGAATAAAAGGCTGGGTGTCAATAATTGTAGATTAATTTATGTTTTATTGCCCACGTTAATGGTGTGTGTTAGATGGAAGAAGGTAGAGAAACTGTGACAGTTTTTGAAGATGTTTGTTTTCCAGATCCTTCCTTTACAAACAATAACAATGTGACCTAGCTGTTTTTGTAGTAGGTTTGCTGGGAATAGTTATGTGCGCAGAGGCAATTGGAAGTAACAGGGTGGGATTTGTATAGAACAATACTTAAATTCACAGAGCTCTACTCCCAGATAAAACTAATGGAAGTACCATGAAGAAGGCCGTTGAAATTATCTACCTCAGAGCAAAATGCAATTCCTAGGATAAGAACTCTGACTGCTAAATTGGCCGAGGTTTGTGGTCCAGTCAAACTTACCCCAGATTCCTTCTGTCCATTTCAAAAATAATAAGGTCCTAAGACACAATTTTTCATAGCATGTATAGCAAATGCCAACTGTGTAAACTGGAATGTGTTGGTTTTAAAAGACTTAAAAATACAAGCTTGATTAAATGCTTTGGACGCGTGAGGGCAGCTGATGCATTATGTGGATTAAAAATATTTGTTACGCTCATTTATCTTGTTTACATACCATTAAAGAAAAGAAGAAATAGGAAAGACATGATAGCTGTATTCCAGTATCTGAGGGGCTGCCACAAAGAAGGGGGGGGAGGGTCACGTTATTCTCCAGGGCACCAGAGGGCAGGACAAGAAACAATGGTTGGAAATTGACCAAAGAGAGAAGCAACCTGGAATTAAGGAGAAACAATCAACCAGTGGAACAGCTTGCCCCCAGAAATTGTGGGCGCTCCATCGCTGGTGGTTTTTAAAAAGAGGCTAAACCGTCACTTGTCTAAGATGGTATATAGGTTCTCCTGCTTGAGCAGGGGGCTGGACTAGAAGACCTCCAAGGTCCCTTCCAGCTCTATTCTATTCCTATTCCTAACTGGCTAGTATAAGTCAGTACATAAATCCCTTCCATGTTAAACACGTCCTTGGCTTTGGAAAAGATAAGAAAATGGCACCGTTTTCCTCTTTGTTAAGAGAAGATCCTCTTAACTATTTGGCAAACAGTATTTTGGGTTACTTCTTTAAGAAACTATCCTTAGTTAGAAGGATAAACTATTGTGCAGAATTACTTGTAGTCTGAGGAAACATTTTGGCTTCCTAGCATTTAGCTTATATGTTGGATAGCTCTATTTAATTGTCCAAGTTTTTCTGAGTTTTTGGTATTTGAAATGCCTCTTTGCATCCAACTCTGTGGCTTGTTCCCAGGCCGGTAATGTATCTTGTTCAACAGCTAAAACGTTTTCTGGAATTTATCACTCATATCTCTGTGCTAAGCCATGACTGATATCTCAACTTTCCTTAGAGGCTGCAAGCTTTCCAACCACTATGGCTTGGACATCTCCCAAATTGGATTCTGTACATTTTTCAGAACTGACTGAATAAATTTACTCTCTCAAAATACAAGCATTGGAATATTATTTCTATGTTCCTTGGCCTTTTAGTTTGGCCCCTTCGGTTCTCATGTTTCAAGAGAACATTAACTAAAAATACTTTGTTTTCCTGGGTTTTATTTTGTTGAAACTCAGGCATTTGGCAAAGCCTGACTGCCATCTGTCAGTGATTCAAAGAAAATGAATTATAGGTTTCCAGTGATGGAGCAGGGAAATTGCTTTCTGGAAGGGAATATATTGGAACCGCAGGACAAAATTAAGCTTTCTACAAACTAGTGGTATTAGAGCAGAGCTGGCATAACCAGGTGCAACATTTTGTGGCACATATGATGCGTGGTTTTGGGGAAACATGAATCAACTATTTTTCTTGAGGTCTGGTTCAGTCTGTTTTAACTGTAGTGGGCACTTAAATTGTATGCTTTAAAAGTCTCAGTAGCTGATGCTAGTTAAACTAAAACATTAAAATCCAATAAAGTACAAATTGTGTGACTTGATTATGCTATAAATCTAAAGCACCATTCTTTATATTATTTATGTTGGAGTCTGTTTAATACTGACAGTTCACTAGCACATAGTTCTCTCATTTATTTTTAAGAGAAGGAAAAAAGGAGGCCTTGATATTTCCAAAGATTTGTGCTTTAGTATTTTCTAAGTATCAACTGAAAGCGAAATGCAGATCTAATTTAATCATTTTAATATCTTATAAAGCCATGTACTTTAGACAACAATCTTCTTGTTCATACATCACATTACTAACTGGATTGAAATAAAGCTACACTTGCCTTTCCTTTGATTCATGTTCCTTGTTGTGAAATGCACAACCTGTATTTGGGGCCCCTACGGCCATGCCATTATTTAATTGCATGCAAATTAAATGTTAGAATGATGTGGCTAATAGTAGCTTCTTATTCAAAATGGTGTAAACATTTAAATGTTAATACACACACCTATGTATATTTTTTATTTTGTTTGCCAACATATTAGACGCTACAACTGCTAGACATTCAGCATGGAGAAAGAGTATTTTTTATATATATATGCTTCATAAGAAGCCCCGGGGAAATCAGAAGACTCAGGCAGTTCAAATGGGTATAGAGATTTATTGCAGGCTTAAGCTCTCTACAAGAATTTGAACTACTTATGAGTCAAGCAAATGGGTGGTAGATAATGGAATTCAAAGTGGGCTGGACCTGGGTCTCTTGTGGGCACAAAAGAACTCTTGACTGATGACGCGTTTGATGCCTCCCTCAGGCTCATCTCCTTACATTTTCTTTTTGATTGTACCTGCTCTCTGCTGATGGACCGTGTTCTTTTCCTCTACAGAGGTGGTTCCTCCAGGATTGAAGAAGCATGCGATATCTATGCCAGAGCAGCTAATATGTTCAAAATGGCCAAGAACTGGAGTGGTATGTAGCCTGCCTGATCCTGTATCCCACACTGTGGTATATTTGGCTTGCTAAGATATACATATATCACTTTGTCATCCTCATAAAGAGGCATGTTCCTCAGCCTGAGTTGCTGGAAGTACCTGAACAATCTTACGGAACCAGGAAGGGCTGGGCAAGTGCTGTTCTGGCTAGTTTCATGGAACCATGACTAATATTTACACTAACCTCATTGGCTGCAGAATTGCCACTGCCCAAAGCCGCACTGAAAGAAATGCTGCTGTTTTAAGTAAGAACTCTACAACCAAGTGGTGTGGACCCCAAGATTTGATAGCAATGATAACAAAGTAACTAAGATTGTACATTCCAGGCATTTCCCTTCTGTTGCCTTTTTGTTTCCAGCAGAGGAGGATAAAGCACAAACTCTTTAGCATTTAGTTCTGGTTTTGAACTTTAAGTTACTTATTAAAAAGTCCTTAGCCTTTCATTCCCCGTGACTCTTTTCTGTCTCTTGTAGCTGCTGGAAATGCATTCTGTCAGGCTGCTCAGCTCCATCTCCAGCTTCAGAACAAGCACGATGCAGCTATGAGCTTTGTGGATGCTGGTAATGCTTTCAAAAAGGCTGATCCTCAAGGTAAATAAAAGGGGGTGAGGTATTTGTGCAGCCTTAGCAGAATGAGATATGATTACCCCATGGGGCATGGGGGGTGATCTGTTCCTATCTCCCAATATTTCCACTAACGCTATGCAAACTGGTTTAATCTACAGTATGTGAGTTTCCATCATGCAGTGTAACCAACAATGCCTCAGGCGTCAACAAATATATATATTTCATTCCAAAAAAATAAGTCAACATAGCCTTTTGGTCCTTTTTGAGCATGACTAGGAGGGGGAAGAGAACTGAGCTAAGCAATTGCTTTAGGGGCCAAGTCACACATGATCCTACAGTCCAGATATGCAGCACCTTCTCCTTTTGTAGGCCATCTACATTGGTCTATGGCAGGGGTAAGCAACCTTGGCTCTTTTATGACTGGTGGACTTCAACTCCCAGAATTCCTGAGCCAGCCATGCTGAGGGGAAAGGGAGAGTTGCCATGCTGAGCCATGCTGGCTCAGGAATTCTGGGAGTTGAAGTCCACGAGTCATAAAAGAGCCAAGGTTGCCTACCCCTGGCCTATGGAAATAGCTTCAAGGCCCTGGCTTCTCTTGAGAGACTGTGAACATGGTTTCCTGGTTCAGCTCAAATGAGAAAACGAGCAATTAAAGATTCTGTTGAAATACATCATAGGGTTGAAAAGATTTTGAGTATCCAGGATCTTTGGCACTCTCTCAGCCTGTTTTTTTGTTGCAGACATTTCATGACCTAAGTAGGTAATATCATCAGTAGTGGCATAATCACATAGTACTAATGACGTTCCCTAGTTGGGTTACGAAACGTCAGCAAGAAAACCACCAAGCTCAGAGAGCACCAAGGACCCCATAGTCCTCCTCCACCTCACCTTCCCTCTTCCCTTCCCCCTTCCTCCTCCCCACAAACTCCACTCCCTTCTATCACTGAAGACGTTACCTAGTTGGGTCATGAAACATCTGCAAGAAAGCCACCAAGCTCCGAGAGCACCAAGGACCCCACAGTTCAGCCCTAAGTTACAAATGTTCTCTCCTTCTGAGTATCTGCTTTATTAATCCAATGTCATTAGTGGACTACACTTTGCCTCTTCATGCTTAACCAACTTGTTCTGCCTTTAAACGGGCCATAAAGCTGCGTGTTGCTAGAATGTCGAAGAGCAAAATCTCGCCAGGTCACCACCTAACAGGATACACAGAGATATCGCCCTTTAGGGTGCAGTGTTGCAGTTTAACCACTCTCCGCTTGTTGCAAAAGGCCTAATTCTAATCCATGAGTGCGCACTTCATTTTAATGCCTTACTGTTTAAGCTTAGGAAAGCTTGGGCAATCTTGGGGGGCCCCAGAAGCCAGCTTTTTGTGTCACTTAGAGTAAACCTGAGCTTCGTGTTATGAATTTGCTCTTCCTCCACAGGGTCTTTGTGATAAGGAGAGGATTACAAGGAATATTTTACCTTTTTTTTTTTTTTTTTTGTCTCTTTTCGGTACAACACCCGGCAAGATCTACCAACTGACCCACAATTTGTCTAGGCCCAGCTTCTTCCTTGTGAATCTATTTCTGGGAAGAGGAGGAATCCTTTTTGCCCCTTGTTGCTCGTACTTGTTAACGAGAAAATGGTGGGCAATTGAATCAAGAGCTCCGTCTTCGGTAGCTCAAACCATAGTTCAGAAAGATGAAAATGTTACTTGAGGAGAAAACGCATCTAATCCTCACCAGGGATTTGTGTAATCTTTTGGGGACTTGGAAGCTGATTATCGGCCCTAAGAGGAGATGAAATAAGAGATGATCCAGGCTGTGTACCGAGTTTCCCCAAGGACTTTAATGTGATGCTTTTCCTGGGATGGGAGTTTGGAAAAGGAAAGCATTCTGCTGCTTTGGAGCCAAACAGTGTCGGTTACAAATCTGTACCCCTGGAGGGATGGTCCTTGTCCACCCAGAACAGGTGTTCCAAAGAAAAACAAATTTGGAGGGAGTTGTGCTGTCTTGGAGATTGGACAGAGCTCTGATCTTGAAGGGGAAATCTGGTTACGGAAGCCTTTAGCAGTCAGTTCTTTCTCTTGTTAAAACAGTGCATTGGAGCTAGGGACAGGCCACGAGGGGCTTGAGGACTCCCTTGAGGCATTGAAAAATCTCCCTCTTGCGTAGGAGATGATGGGACATGGAATCCTGCTACTTCTTCTAGCTTGATAAAAAAAAATACTCGGAATAATGCCGATCTGCTAACATTGGCTGTTCTTGCTTTGACAATATATGAAGATGCAGCCTTTTTCTTTGTTATGCTTTACTCTCAGATGATGCTGGGGGAGGAGGAGGAATGGGGTGGGAGTTAGTTAGACATAACAATATTGTAGTAGCTGTGTGAAATAAGAGATGATAAGGATTGGCCGGGTAGCAGAACAGGAGGGAAAGCCTGCATTTCAAACGGGAATGTGATTTATGACTGTTAATTGAAGGAGGGAATTGTGCTTTGATACTATGTGCTCAGGGGAGGGGAATCCAGTTTTTGGCTGTGCTGAAACTATGCTACTCCCATCAAGATTCTTTAAGGTAAACTCTTTGAAGAGTTTCATCTGTCGGAACCATGACAGCCAGTCTCTATAACAGGAAATTAAGTCTTTTGAAGCTCCCCGGTGTTGCCCAAGAGGAGCAGTGGGGGTCTACTAGAAGTATTCCTTCTGTGGTGCTGCTTGCTTTGATTTTTTAGCACTAGGCGCAACACTTTTATTTTCCCAGGCTGTTTTTCCTCTTCCCAATTACAAGGTGCTCCACCATGATGGAATGAAATCTATGTATAATTCATGTGCGGCCTGACTCCCTGCTTCACTGCTAACCCTGGAAATAAATAACGATAAGCTTGATAGTCCTCGACTTAACGACCACAATTCAGCCCCAAATTTCTTTCGTTAAGTGAGTTTTGCCCCATTTTACACACTTCCTTGCCGCTGATATTAAGGGATTCACTGCCGTTGATAAGTTAGGAACCCGGTTGTTAAGTGGATCTGGCTTCCCCATTGACTTTGCTTGTCAAAAGGTCGCAAAAGGGGATCGCGTGACCCCGGGAGACAGCAACGGTCATAAGTACAAGTCAGTTGCCAAGCATCTAAGTTTTGATCCCATGATCATAGGGATGCTGCAGAGGTTGTAACTGTGAAAAACGGTCATAAGTCGCTTTTTCCAGTGCCGTTGTAACTTTGAACGAACTGTTGCAAGTCGAGGTCTTTTTAGAGTTGTTAAGTGTTGCAGTTCTTCAAGCAGCCACATGATGGCAGCATTGGAACCCCTCCAAAGGTTGCTTATCCTTGGCAGTTAAGTCTGTCACTAACTAATTCCAATATGGTGCCCAATTGTTTGCCCTATTCTCACTTCGGGAAGAATGCCAAACTATGTAGAAAAGTCCCATCCGTTCTTGAGATACTCTGTCCTGGTTCCAAGAAGGACTCGGCGGTTTTTCCTTAAGTACTTACTGATCTCATCCAGGAAAAGAAATATGCTATAAATATTCCTGCCTTCTGTTCCTTTCAGGGAGGTTTAGCTGGAGCTGCGTTGATGAATGAATGCCTTTGTTTCTTTGTGTTACTGTATTTAAAATGGCTTACTTTGTTTGTTTGTTTGATTTTTAATAGAGGCCATTAATTGTCTCCTTAGAGCTATTGAGATCTACACAGACATGGTAAGTTGCTTATATAATTCAGAAGTCCCCTTCTTAATTAAAAACAAGGAATATTTTATGCCTGAAAAAAAACATTTACTTGGCAAACCCACACAGAGGATGGCTTTTCACAAATCACACGGTGTTTTTTAGACATGGCTCCCAAACAAGGAACCACAAATGGTATGTGGGGGGGGGGGAATTGTCTGGCTAGCACACAAATTGCACAGTGCTGTAATAATGCTGACAGAAAGTTTGTGCATCGGAATTGCCCATAGATGGAATAAACACCCCCATTATAGGTAGGTGGCACTTTCACCGGCTGGTCCGATAGATTGTGCTACTTGCTACAGAATTTTCAATAAAGTATAGATAATCCTTGACTTAGGACCACAGTTGGGACCAGAAATTCTGGTGATTGTTAAATAAGTCATGCCTAATTTTATGACCTTTATAGAATCTGCAGGTTCAGGATAATTGCCTGATTTCAACATAGTTGAGGATGATCACCCGTGGATTAGCACGGCCTTGGGTGGGAGATATCCAGCTGTCCCGAAAAATTGGTTTCTAATATATTCTATTTCTCTGGGCTTTCTTTTTCAGGGGCGCTTCACCATTGCAGCCAAGCACCATATAACCATAGCTGAGATCTATGAGTCTGAGCTGGTGGACATTGAAAAGGTACGGTGAATAGGCAGGTCCTGTCTCAATAAGCTTGCTTACAGTGGTCAGGTCCAACTCTTCGTGACCCCATGCACTACAGCACGCCAGGCTCCTCCTGTTCTCCACTCACTCCCTGAGTCCACAATGGTGTGCTATTTATTTACTTATTCAATTTATGTGCCCCCCCCCTGCTCTGAGCAGCTTTTACCCTGTACCCTAGCCTGGTTTCCCAGAAGAGAATTGTTGTTGAGGTGGAGATAACTTTTGAAAAGCTCATTTTCAATTCTGCTGCTGCTGCTAACACCCACGTTTCAAAGGGCCTTGATTTAGTTGGTGGATGGGCAGAGAAGAGGAATTGATGGGCTCCAGGAATTAGGTGTAATGCTTTATTAAACCGGTTTGTACTCAAGAGTTATATTCAGAACTAAAAGTTCATTGAGAAGCTTTGAACAATTTTTGATTGGAAAAACAAGAGGATTGTGTCTTTCATTGCAAATAACCTACTTTTAACTACCGCAATGGAGAAAGGCTACTGTAGTCTTTAAATAAAATACAATATTTTATTGGCCAAGTGTGATTGGACACATAAGGAGTTTGTCTTCGGTGCATAAGCTCTCAATGTACCTACAAACAACAAGGTAATTGTTGGGGGCAATGTAAATATACATTGCTTACTGGTGTACACCGCTTAGAGAGTGCTTGCACTTAAAGCGGTATATAAGTTTCATAAATAAATAAATAAATAATATAATTATGAGATATCAATAGGAGGCAATAGTAGAAAAGATGAGAAGGATAATAGTAACACAGCCCTTCTGCGTGGGTAAATATCTTTACATATAAGACAGCACTATGATAATTAGATGTTCAGCAGAGTGATGGCATGAGGGAAAAAACTGTCTAGTTTTGGCATGCAGTGCTCTATTGTGCAAGGAATATTGGCTATTTATGAACTCCCTGGGAAGAGTCTGCTAAAGTCTTGTAGAGAAAAGAGTGTATGTATGTGTTTCTCAACCCAAACCACATATATGCTCAGTTCTCTTTCCATTTTTCTCTTTTCTTCCTTTGCAGGCAATCGCTCATTACGAACAAGCTGCAGATTACTATAAAGGTGAAGAATCAAACAGGTAATTCAAGCATTTCCTGTTTGCATTTCTGCTATGGGCTTACTGCTTTATGATGGTTCCATTCCTGCTTTCCAGGAAGGCCTCAGAAAACAGACTGGTTTAAAAGAATCAAAGCTGGATGGACAGCTTACCTGTTTTGGAAATGGTCAGAGGGTATTTGTGTTTCACTGACGGCAAGCGAAAATAATAGTTCAAGGAACTAAATCACAACATCCTTGAACCAAAGTTAAAGTAATATTTTGTCATAGCTGTGCCTCGGTGGATATAAAAGCAATGAGAATGTGGTTCTGGCTTGGCTGATACTTCAAATTTTCATGAGCACACACTGTACTTCTCTAAGCTTACATTACTAATACAGCCTTATTTTGACTACTTGTTGGACCAGTTTTTGCTTTCTCCATGTGAATGGCTGCCACAGGTTAAAAATACAGTTCTCTATAAACTTCGTCCCAAATGACTTGGTCTCCTTTGGGGCGCTGTTGGGGATAGGGAGCAGTCCTTTGACATCTGCCCCAGATGAGTAAATTTGCGTCAGAGATTTTTCCAGGAGCCCTGGGGTGCAGTGGTTAGAACGCAGTATTGCAGGCTAATTCAACTGCCAACAGTTTGGCAGTTCGAATCTCACCTACTCAAGGTTGACTCAGCCTTCCATCCTTCCGAGGTTGGTAAAATGAGGACCCAGATTGTTGGGGGCAATATGCTGATTCGGTAAACCACTTCAAGAAAGCTATAAAGCACTGTGAAGCGGTATATAAGTCTAAGTCAGTGGTTCTCAACCTGTGGGTCGGGACCCCATTTGGGGTCGAACGACCATTTCACGGGGGTCGCCAAACAACGCAGTCCGCCATTTTTTCCCCCTTTTCCTTAGCTGTGCTACTCCCTTGAATAGAGTCTAATTGACTGTGCTACTCCCTTGAATAGAGTCTAATTCTATTGGCTTTCAAAAGCCAATCGGAATTGTCCAGGCTGTCTCTGCCCTGCTGAGCCCGCCAAAAGTCCCATTCTGCAAACGGTGCTGCACCAGTTGGGTAGTCCTCGACTTACGACCGGTTGAGTAGTCCTCGACTTACGACCGGTTGGGGGGTCGCGGCATTAAAAAGGTTGAGAACCACTGCTCTAGACTAGCGAGAGAAGCCTGGTGAAATGTAAACCCAACTTTCTTCCACACAAGTTACTTTTTAAACTTGTATTTGCATTTTGCCCTCAGCTAGTTTGGGTGTTTTTTGGGGGGTCCACTGATGTTGCCCGGGCGGGCATGATGGAGGCTGTGTTGGCAGGTGGGGAAGAAGAGTTGCTGGTCTTTCCGTATCCAGTTGCCTCTAATCCTTTGTTGTTGTTTTTTTCTCCCTTCCTGCAGCTCTGCCAACAAATGTTTGCTGAAAGTGGCTACCTATGCAGCTCAGCTGGAGCAGTACCAAAAAGCTATTGAAATCTATGAGCAGGTCCAGTTACTTCTGTTCTTTCTCTTCCCCCCCCCCCTTCCATTGAACCTTCATAAAACCGCACCTCTTTAACATACTGAACCACCATATAGGTGTGAAAACAAAAATCTAGCAGGGCTGAGATTTGCCAGTTAAGAGAAACAGGGATGCTGCTTCTATGGATTCTACAAACGTATTGTGACTAGTTCTGTTTTTGCCAAACGTCAGGTAATTCATGAATTCGCTCATTCATAAGGCTACCCAACCAACACTGACTCTGAAGAATGTATACATTAAAGGACAAACCCAAGAAACACACACAAGAATAAGCACAGTGGCAGAGGAACATGACATACACCAGTGATGGCTAACCTTTTAGAGACTTGAGTGCCCAAACTGCAACACAAAACCCACTTATGCATCATCGAGTGCTGGCTGAGTGTGACCAATTGGGTGGGCGTGGCCTATTGGGTGGGTATCGCTGCAGTGGTAACGGCAGACTGGGTGGGACTAAAAAGTGCAATCAATCAATTCCAACTTTGCAAGATCTTTTTTTTTTCCTGAGAGAAGCTGAAATTGATTGATTGAACTTTTTTTTTTTTTGCACACGGCGGTGGAGGCCTAAAGCGAAAAGGTTTTATAAAACCCAGCTGAAGGCCTAGGACTGGGGCGATGTGCGCGTGCCCACAGAGAGGGCTCTGAGTGCCGCCTCTGGCACCCGTGCCATGGGTTCGCCACCACTGACATACACCATAACCCAAGCAGTCAATACCAAATGGACACACACCAAACTTGTCTCAGAGCCTGTGGGGGGAAGTATTCTTATGGTTGGTTTCAATAAAAGAGAATATTTGTAGCTCTGGATTGAACTGTGGGGTCCTTGGTGCTCTCTGAGCTCCATGGTTTTCTTACAGACGTTTTATGACCCAACTAGATAACTTCAGTGCTAGAAAGGAGTGGGTTTATAAATCACAGACTTCACTCCCTTCTAGCACTGATGAAGTTACCTAGTTGGTTCATGAAACATCTGCAAGAAAACAACGAAACTCAGCACCAAGGACCCCAAAGATTTGTTTAAAGAATTACAATATTGGGACAGTGTTGGATCTTACGACAGAGATGATGAGGGACTGAAAGAGTCTTTTATGCCATAAGCCATAAAGTGATGTGAGGGATGGCTAAGTCCTCAACGTGTTGGGAGAACTTTCAGTGACCTTTCTTACCAGAGTCTTCACCAGCCTTCTCTTCCATCCATTTTGCCTCCACAGGAGTTAGAAACTTATTTTCTTTGCGTAAAACTTTCATTAGGGTCACAGGAAGCCATTTGTAATGACTTTCTGGGGATGTTCCTGGGATCTTGTGGCACTGTGGCCCCCGCAGAACAATTCTAATAACACTTTCCAGAATCTTCCCCTTCAAATTTGGAGCAGAGGAATGGAAATTGATTCAAAGACTAAGTGCATTTTTAAAAAAAAACTGAAAAGAAAAAAAAATCGCAACTCTAAAATTCTGTATTTTGCTCAGCAAGATTTGTTTGCTAGTTCTGTTCCTGTCTGTTTTCCGCCCTCAACGGCATTGCTTCTCATATCAATGCAACTTATTTATTACAGTCATTGGTTTGTTTATGCAAGAATAAAACTTTTGCAAGAAAAATGTTTAACCAATCGGCAGCAATCCCGTTAAGTTACCAGGTTAGAAAGTGGGGGGCAGCGAGTTCAAGTGCCACCATATAATCATGAAAGCCAGCTGGGTGACTTTGGATCAGTCCCTCTCTCTCAGTTTGACCCACCTCACAGGGTGTTTGTTGTGGGGAAAACAAGTCAAGAACAGTGTGTTGAATATGTTCACTACCTTGAGTTATTTATTTAAATAATAAAAGCAGGATACAAATCAATCAATAAAAACACTAATAACACAGATTAATATAATTACAACATTTCTGCCCATCACACTTCTCTGCTCTGCATTCGCCATATTTGGATTCCTTAATACTTTGTTGACTTCTCTTAAGAAAACAAAAAACAAATGTCTTCATGTCTCTTTTGTGGTAGGTGCTCAATCCTGCATGTGAGGGTATAAATACCACATCATTTTCTTCCATTTTTTTAAAGCTTCCTTCAAAGCAACCCCCCCTTTCTGATTTTCTTCTCCCCCCCCACCTTTTCTGCAACCTCCAGGTGGGGACCAGTGCCATGGACAGCCCCTTGCTGAAATACAGTGCAAAGGAATACTTCTTCAAAGCAGCTCTCTGTCATTTCTGCATTGACATGCTCAATGCCAAGGTTTGGACAATTGTCATTTTATTTCTAGAAACCTGGTAAAGCTTTTACAGTAATCTTTATTGATGAGGCCTCAAAGTCCGCATATGTTTAAGGGAATTCACCACTGCATGCAATCCCAGTGTGTTCCATAAAATATTTTCGCTGTTGGGGAGCCCTGAGTATAAATTTATGATTCTAGTGACTATATATATATATTTCTGCCCTGAAGGAAATAAGATAATCTGTTATTAAAAGTCTCAGGAAATAGTTCTGTGGAGTAGTGTCCATAAATACCGAGCCTGTGCAGAGGCATATAATTGACAATTTCTTTAATTAAATTTCTACACTGTCCATCTTAAAACCCTATGTGAATAAACCATAGATTAAAAATTAAAAACAGGTTAAAACTTAACAAGTAAAAATTGAATAGGACATATGCAATGTCTCTAGTGTAGCCAAGTCAGTCTGGGAAGATTCCTGCATATAAGCTTGAGCAATAAAACAAGTAACTGAGTTCATCACATCGTGCCCGACAGATGGGTGGGTGAAGAGAAGCAGAAAGTTTAATTTCTGAGCCAAGGACTTGAAACCTTGTAGTTAAAAGTAATTTGATTATCAGCCGTGCTGATTATTTTAATGCAGGAAGAGGCCTTGCAGTCTAACAGGGTTGTCTGCCGTTTCACCTTTTGATTCACACAGCCCCTAACCGGGATTCCGTTCTTTCCCTTCATTTAAATCAGCTGGCTGTACAGAAGTACGAAGAGATGTTCCCGGCTTTCTCGGATTCCAGGGAGTGCAAACTGGTTAAAGTGAGTAGTTTTCATCGAGTCTTAAGGCCAGCCTCACTGAATGTGTGCATCTGAGAGGAAGCAGACATTTTCAGTCTCGATGTACTGACGGTAAACTTGGATTAGATTTTTAGCTACCAGACTCAAGTGATATTGTACAAAGATTGCAGCAGTTGTGAGTTAGAAATTAATTGCACGATTGGTCAGCAAAGAAGGAGGAGCTGAGCCAGGGATAGGGAACCTGGGCTCTTTTATGACTCGTGGACTTCAACTCCCAGAATTCCTGAGCCAGCATGAGGGAAACTTTGGCCTCTTCATGACTTGTGGATTTCAACTCCCAGAATCAGGAATTCTGGGAGTTGAAGTCCACTAGTCATAAAAGAGCCCAGGTTGCCTACCCCTGAGCTAAGCCATACAATGATGGCTTTGTTCTTAAGCACTGGGGCTTAGATTTCCAGAAAAGACTGGAGATGTTTGGCTAGTTAAACTTACAGGATGCTTTTTCTGTCCAACGGTGGCTCGACGGTTAAAGACACTGTGCTTATCAGCTGGAGAGCTAACAGCCCGGGTTTGAGATCTGAGCTCCACCCAATGGGGTGAGTCCTGCTACTTGCCCCGCCTTCTGCCCACCTAGCATTTCAAAACATGCAAATGCAAGTAGATTAATAGGTACCACTTCGGTGGGAAGGTAACAGCCTTGGCGTATAGTCGTGCTGGCCACCTAACCTTGCCAACTCTGGCTCCCTGGGCCAAGAAACGGAGGCGAGCACTGTGCCCTGGAGTTGGACATGACTGACAGGGAAAGCGTTACCTATGATGGTTTATATAAGGTTGATCTACCCAAGACCACAACAATGTCCACAGAAGCAACGGCGGGCTCTTCGGCCGGCGTATAACATCTGCGCTCAAACCAATGAGTCTTCTAACTCCCTTGCGTCAACGGCTGAACCTTGCTGCCTGTCAATGCTGCTTTGTTTGGGAATTGTTCTAGAAATGCCTCACCCCTGCCCTGTCTTCTTTCCTAGAAATTGTTGGATGCTCACGAGGAGCAGAATATTGACAGTTACACTGAATCAGTAAGTTTGGGGTTATCCTCTTCCTTTCCAGTACTGTCCAGCTCATTTTGTCCCGTCCCCGCCCCCCAGCTTGGTACCTCCTGAACACCTGGGATTCCAATTATGTGATCATGGACGATAAAATGCAACATATCTAGGGAACATCAAGCTGGGAAGAGAGCGGGTCTGTCATTTGTTCTGCAAGTAGACAGGCCGGAAGGCTGCAAAACGGCCTGAAATTCTGGAGCTGCAATCGCAGCTCATCTGGAAGGAGAATGACGAGGGGAGGGTGGGAATACGGGTGGTCCTCAACTTACAACTTTTCATTTGGTGACCGATCAAAGTTACAACAGCACTGGGGGGGGAAAAATGACCTACAAGGTTTTCACCCTTAAACTTCTTGCAGCCTCCCCGTGATCACATGATCAAGTTTCAGACGCTTGGCAACTGACTCACATTTATCACAGTTGCAGCGTCCTGGGATCCCCTTTTTTGCGACCGTATGAAAAGCAAAGTCAATGGGGGGAGCCAGATTCAGTTAACAACCGAAGAGCCGAGGTGGCGCAGCAGTTAGGGTGCAGTACTGCAGGCCACTTTAGCTGACTGTGTTCAGCAGGTCAGCGGTTCAAATCTCACCGGCTCAAGGTTGACTCAGCCTTCCATCTTTCCGGGGTAGGTAAAATGAGGACCCAGATTGTTGGGGGCAATGTAAATATATATGTGTACATTGCTTACTGGTGTACACCGCTTAGAGAGTGCTTGCACTTAAAGCGGTATATAAGTCTCATAAATAAATAAATAAAATAAACCGTGCTTCTGACTTAACTGCAGGGATTCACTGAAGGAAGGCCGTCAAATGGGGCAAAACTCACTTCACAAATGTCTCAGCAACAGTTGTGGTCTTAATGTCAGGGACTATCTGCATTTGAATTCGCATTCATAGACTATTCCTGGCCACGTTTCTCTTTTCCCCCCCACCAGGTGAAGGAATACGACTCAATCTCTCGCCTGGACCAATGGCTGACCACCATGCTTCTGCGCGTCAAGAAAACCATACAGGGTGAAGAGGAGGATCTGCGTTAAAAAACACCACCCCTTTGCCCTCCGTCCTCCGGCCCGTTGTTTGCAGAACTCTGCCTGGATCAGCTCTGGGGGAAGAGAGGGTCTTGGCACGAAGGAATTAGACTCAAGTGGCAAATTCTTCATTTTCTCTTCCTTTTCTCATCCCGCCTCTTTGCGCTGCAGTAAACAGGGCTGGGATGCCTCACCTGTGGACTGCTCCGGAGAGATCTGGAGTCCTCCCAAGCCTTGCCTGGCTTCCCGAGTCAGCATTTACACCCTCCCCGTGGCTTCGTTGATGGTTTAATATTTAAAGCATCTTTAGTAAGTTGGGTTTGTTGATGGCGCCATCCTCTTATCCTTCTCCCCCAAATCTTAACGGAAAGTGATATGGAAAAACAGCAGAAAGAACGCCTGGTAATATTTGTGGCTTCATCTCATCTCTCCTCCTTCCCTCCCTTTGACCACAGCAGCTCCCTTTTTTCAACAGGCATTGCAAGGCTAGGGAGCCCCTTCCGTGAGTTTCGCTCAACCCTTCTCCTTCCAAAATAATATTTTAAAGGTGGACAGAATGGCGCTGGTCTCTAAACGAAGGAGCCGGGCGTGCGAAGCGCCTCTCGCCTGCCTCGTTTCAAATAACGCGGGAAACCCTCACAAATTCTGGCTGTTGCTGATCTGTATGAAATAATTCGGCTTCATTCCATGTTTCTTTCTTGCACCCTGAACTACCTTAATTTATGTGTGTTTGCCCAGTTTATCCCTTTAAAGCAGGGGTGTCCAACCTTGCCAGATTTTAAGACTTGGCGGAATTCAGTTCCCCAGCCAGCCGGAATTCTGGGAGTTGAAGTCCACAGGTCTTAAAGTTGCCAGGATTGGACACCTCGGCTTTAGAGATTGGTGTTAGAAGTATGGTGTTGTATATCCATCTCAAGATTGATAAAGGATATTCAGTCTCCATCCTCAACAAGAGGCAGGTCAGTCTCAAACTATGCAGCAGGTAGCCAGAAAAACGCCTAATTTAAAACTAGAAGCTCTGTGCGCAAGCTGTCTTGATCTCTCGTCTCGCATGATTCTCCCTCCTGGCTTAGTTTGAAGAGAGCATTTTTCCAGCCAGGTGTTCTGTATACATCGACATGAAGCTGCTGTATTTTTTCTCTCCCTTGTCTTTGCTTTAAGAGAAAGAGCTTTATCATGTAATCTAGCATCTTCATGAAGGTTCCTCATATTTAAATGTTTCCTTACTCTGTTGTTGGAAGGTGGACTTAAATTCTGTTGCATGTTCCAAAATGCCTACCGGAAAGCAACTAATAGTGAAATAACTTGCACACAAGAAACAATAAAAAGAAAAAAAAAACCAACTTTGCACGTGGAAACAGTGTTAGCGTCGAGTATGCTTATAGCCCCCCCCTACTTTAAAATTTCTGTTGCTTTCTATAAATATCTTGCTTGTTTTCAAGCCCGTCTCTCGTCGTTCTTCCCTGCTCTGCTTCCCTCTGGATTCCGGTTCCGATTCCCTTTCCCACCAGTTTTTCTAAGTTGTGATTCTGTTCCTGAACACTGGCTGTGATTCTTCCTGTCTAAAAATACACCTGCATGCTTGAATTTGGCTGTGTGTGTGTGTGTGTGTGTGTGTGTGTGTTCGTTCGTCTGTGTATAAATTTTTGGAACCGCAGTAGATTTGGATGAGCAGTTCTGCTTACAGGAGTTGAGAGTTAGAGGTACTCTGAAGTTGCATAACAAATAAGAACGTCCCCATATCAATTGTGCAAATTAAATCAAGATTACTTTAAATTACATAACTCTCTATGCAGGGCACTGAATTTTCTCTTTCTTAGTTGGAATCTTTTTTTTTTTTTCCCCCTGCTGGCACTGAAGTAACTTTTGCTAAACCTCAGTGCTTTTTGAGAAGCATATCTACCCAGCCGTAAAACCACCTGGAAAATGGTGATAATTGTCAGGCATGAAAAGACTTGCAGTCCAGAGATTGCCAATTTGAACATGGCTGAATTTGAGGTGTCCACGAGGCTTGCCGCAAGAAGTAGCTGGTTTTCTAGCAATTACATCACATTAATATTCTCCAGAGAAGGGCAACACCTGCCATCCCGGGGGGGGGAGGGGGGCAAATTGAAAGAAGGGGGCTGATATCCTCTGCCAAAGCAAAGGCCCACAACAATAGTTGTTATATGTTAAGCAATTAAATACTTACACCGTAAATCCTCAAAGATGCTATCTAAACGAGAGTATGTTTCTTTGTCTTGCATTCAATACTAACATAAGTTATCACTGGTTCAGAAGAACTGGACTACGCCCAGATTCCACAACTTGCTGGAATGGGTTTGACCTGACTCCAGAACTTGCTTTATTTATCTCTGAAGTCATAAACGTTTTGTGCCATCCCATATTGCTGCTGCTTTGTGGGCACACCTATTGTCCCAGAACTAATGGCCAGGGATGTGGAAGCAGTAAAACCAGCCAGACTAGAAGAGACAGTAGGACTTGTTCATGGAAGCACAACCTGGATTAGCTGCCTCCTGGAGTGATTTAGACCACTAAGAGTTTTGTAAACTATTCTTGCCATGTCAACAGTACAAACTAGAAATAAAGCATGAAGCTGGCGTTTGCGACTCAAACTGGATCTTGTTTTACCTTAAAAGCCAATACCCCAATTCCGTGTCATGTCCTTTGGTTAAAACAAAAACACTGCACAGCCACAGATGTGTGTGAAGCATTGTCCTGAAGAGGCTGAAGCACAAATGGTTGGGGGTGGGTGGGATTTAAATAAGTTAAAGAAATAGGAAAAAGTACAGAGGGTAATACAGATAATCCTTAAAACAGTTCATTAAGTGACTTATTAAGTTACAGTGGCACGGAGAAAGGGACTTGTGACTTTTTCACACATCTGTTGTGGCTCCTATGGTCACGTGATCAAAATTCAGACACTTGACAACTGGCTCATATTTATGATGGCTGCAGTGTCCCCGGGGTCATGTGACCCCCCTTTGTAAACTGAAAAGCAAAGTCAATGGAGGAAGCCAGCTTCACTTAACCGTGTTACAACAATTTCAGTGGTTCACTTAACAGCTATGGCAAGAAAGATCGTAAATAGGGCAAAACACTAAATGTTGTTTCACTTAACAGACACTTTGGGCTCAATTGTGGTCGTAAATTGAAGACTATCAATTGCTGAAGGAAAAGTCTTCATCATGGTTCAATCCAAGCCAGGAATAAACAACATGGCGACTGCTTTAGAAAGAAGGTTGTAATTTATTGGAGAAGAGAGCCAGATAGGAAGATGGCTCTGGAAGAAAAGAGGGAGCGCATGTAGGGAGTGGGTTTTTATACCTTCTTGGGCTTTTGTTTGGAGTTGTTTCCTGTTCCTGTTTGAGGCTTTGTATTTCCTGTGTCATGTATTCTGACCTGACTCTGGGTGTGCCCTTTGGCATCTGTGGATTAATCCTGTTATGTCCCTCTTGGAGTTTGGGTGGGATATGTAGATTTTAGGTGTCTTTGTCTTCTTAATCTTCTAGCTTCAACCTTCCTGAATGGTTTACATCTGCATTTCTACAGAGCTGGTTTCTGCTTGAGGGAGGGAGACTTGGGACTATTAAGAAAAACTGGGCATGCTTTTCTGCCTCTTTAAGATTCTTCGAGGAAATATATTTTTCTGCCCTTTTCATATTTCTTCTCTGTGGAGCTGACTTCCCGCACTCTTTGAGAGAAAACACCGTTAAAGTTATTACAGGAGAAGAAATCGGGAATATCAAGAGTAATTTTTATTAAAGAAGCATAACGGCCAACGTGGGTTTTAAAGAGAAGATAGATAACTAAGACAGGCATTAGTTAAATTACGATAGCAATGTTAATGGATTACAAAATCCTTTGTTGACACCTTTTGAAATGGCAAAAAAACTTTTTCAAGTACGTGGAGTCTAACAATTTCTCACGATGTTATTCTTTTTTTTTTTTTTTTTAAGAAAAAGTCCCGTCTCTCTAAAACAGGGGTAGTCAACCTTGGCTCTTTTATGACTCGTGGACTTCAACTCCCAGAATTCCTGAGCCAGCTAAGCTAAGCTGGCTCAGGAATTCGGGAATTGAAGTCCACGAGTCATAAAAGAGCCAAGGTTGACTACCCCTGCTCTAAAAAGTCACTTTGAGGGCGCCATAGGTCTCTTACAATGCCCACAGTCGAAGAAGGGAACTAGGCCATGTATGAAATGTGGAAAGAGGGAAGCCCACATTGTTGAAATCATTTCAATCGAGCTGGGCGTTCAAACGAAGCCAAACAGCTACTCAAAAGCTTCCAGCCTAGCTGTAGATGACGTCACCGCCTTGCCTTCCAGCTCGCCCCGCTGTCACCGAACGCGCATCTTCCACGACGCCCCGCCCTCCCGGAGACGTCACCCGCAGCGCGACTGCCGACGTTGAAAGTCCCTCCCCCCTCTTGCCGTCGCGTCCCGGGGAGAAGACATGGAGGACGGGGCTGTCCTCAGCGGTGCCTGAGTCGGGATGGAGCCTCCCCGCAGCTGCCCCTTCCTGGAGGACAGCTTCACCCGCTTCTCCTCCCAAAGCAACGTCTACGGGCTGGCGGCCTTGCCGGGGGCGGCCCGGGAGGGCGGGCGAGGGCCAGAGGGGCCCGCATGGGCGGGGGCGGAGGAAGCCGGGGGAGGAGAGCTCTTCTCCCAATGGAGCCCAGAGGTCGCGGCTGGGCTGGGGAGGGCACCCGGGGAAGGCCCGGGGGGGCTCCTGGCGGCCACCCTCAAAGGGAAGGTCACTTATTTCCGCTACCAAGACATGAGGCGGAATCTGCGGCCGGTGGCCAGGGAGGTGCAGTTCACCTACATCCCAGGTAAGGCCGGGGGGGTGTGTGGGCTGTCCGGGTCTGGGGTGGGGGGGGTTTAAGGGAGAGGCTGGGGGCTGGCCTTCCCTGCTGCATTAACAGAGGGAATAGAATCAAGATCACATGAATTCTTAATACCACTTTATAATAGTTGGGTAAGACCACACTTGGAAAGACTGCGTCCAGTTCTGGTGATCATATTATCAAAAAGATGTTGAGACTCTGGAAAGAGGGCAGAGAGAAGAGGAACAAAGACGATTAGTTCGTTTAGTGCAGTGGTTCTCAACCTTTTTAATGCTGCGACCCCCCAACCGGTCGTAAGTCGAGGACTACTCAACCGGTCGTAAGTCGAGGACTACTCAACTGGTGCAGCACCGTTTGCAGAATGGGACTTTTGGCGGGCTCAGCAGGGCAGAGACAGCCTGGACAATTCCTATGGGCTTTTGAAAGCCAATAGAATTAGACTCTATTCAAGAGAGTCTATTCTATTGGCTTTCAAAAGCCAATAGAATAGAAGGGAGTAGCACAGCTAAGAAAAGGGGGGAAAAAATGGTGGACTGCGTTGTTTGGCGACCCCCGTGAAATGGTCGTTCGACCCCAAATGGGCTCCCGACCCACAGGTTGAGAACCACTGGTTTAGTGACCATTTGAAGTCACAAGGGCACTGAAAAAAAGTGACTAGTGACCATTTTACCTGCTTAACCACGGTTGCAGCCTTCCCAGGATCAAAATTCAGACACTTGTCAACGGGATTCGTATTTATGATGGTTGCTGCGTCCCGGGGTCATGGGATTAGCTTTTTGTGACCTTCTGACATGCAACGTCAATGGGGGCTGCCAGATTCACTTAACAACCATGTTATTAACAACTGCAGGGATGCACTTAGCAACAGAGACCAGAAAGATCGTAAAATGGGGCCAGACTCACTTAAGAAATTTCTCACTTAGCAACAGAAAGTTTGGGCTTGGATTGTGGTCCTATGGTTGAGGATTCCGTCTATGAAGGAGATTCCAAGTTAGAAATGATTTCCAATTCTGATGTAATTTACATTACTGCCTGCAAGAGGAGATGAGTTTCTTTCTGTGATCTTCGGTAGGATTGCATAACATAAGTAGCTCTTTTGTTTTTCCCCAGTTGATGCTGAGATTGTTTCTATTGATACTTTCCACAAACCACCTCCCAAAAGAGGCCTTGTCGTGGGAATAACCTTCATTAAGGTAGGCAGGTCATTTCATTCATTATTTTTCTTGCAATTTTGCTTCAGTAGGTGCCTACCTTTGTTATGCTCGTTTAAGGTGTGCAGTGTTTTTGCAGAAATGTTGCAAAAATCAAATACTTTCTTTCCTGTTGTTGGAACTTAATTTTTGCTTTGGATTTGGTCACAAAACTGCTACTGAGCAGCTATTCTCATTAGGTACCTTATAGATCCACGTAAAGGTGCGCTTCAGCAAAAAGCTTTCTACGGAACCATATTTTCTTTGAATTTAGATTTAATTCTGTTGGTTTCAGGGTATAGCTATATAATCTTATTGACAGCGGCAGGAAAGTCATTTGATCCCTTCGGAGATGTTTTTCAGCTTTTCAGTCTGCCTACAGCCTTGGGAATTCCAGGGGTCTCCTACCCAATTATTATTTAGCTCTGCTTACACAGAACAGAGAGAGAAAGAGATCCCTTTTTTCTGCTTATCCTGTTTTTTTTTTGTTCAGTTCAACTTTATTTTCCTCTCTCCAAGAATTGTAAATACAGCTAGTCCTTGACTTACGACACAATTGATCCCCAGATTTCCATTGCTAAGCAAGACAGTTGCTAAGTGAGTGTTGCCGCATTTTACGACCTTCCTTGCCCCCGTTGTTAAGTGAATCCTTGCAGTTGTTAAGCTAGTAACACAGCTGTTAAGTGAATGTGGCTTTCCCATTGACTTTGCTTGTCTGAAGGTGACCCTGCGGCACTGCAACCGTCACAAAAACATGCCAGTTGCCAAGTGTCCAAATTTTGATTGCGTGACCACGGTGTCGTGGAACAACCCAATGGAAAAAGATAAGAGACAGCAACACAAAACAATATATGTTACTTTAAGATTCAGGGGTTTATTTTGCTAATAATTTGGAACATAGCAAGCATAATAACACAACATTTACATTAATAACCCATTGCAGTGAGGACCATATGGCATTGCAGATTCTAAAAGGACAGCTATTGGTCAATGGCCCCAAGCTGGTCTTGGGCTAACATTTTTATATCTTTCTCCCAACGACCACCCACATATAATCATTATTTTGCAAAATCAGTTCCTTGTTCTTTCATGCTGACCAGCAGTTTCTGCATACATCCATGTACAACTAAAACCTTCATCCATCTGTTACTTTCAGTTCCTCTTCCCACGGTTACAGTGCCCGTGTTCCAAATATACATGTAAAACTATCCACTTTGCAATTTCATAACGCACCAGCTCAGCAGATGACAAATTTTTCGTTCATATTATGAAACAGTTTGAGTTAAAGCTTTGTTTTAAATCATTGCTGTGGGACTTATCTTACTTAATGAGTAAGGGGCTATATTTTCATTTCCCACAACGGGGATACTACAACAGTTGTAAGTGTGAAAAATGGTGATAAGTCACTTTTTTCAGTGCCGTAACTTTGAACAGTCGCTAAACAAATGGCTGTAAATCAAGGACCACCTGTACTGTATACTTTTTAAACCTATGCCTAATGACCCAGACTATTCTGCATCTGAGCAATTCAGTGCTTTATTCTTAGCATCACAGAAACTAACCATTTAAAACAGCAGAGGGCACCTGTGCAAACTGGAACGATGGAAGTCCCCCAGTGCTTGATCTGACTGCCGTGAATAAAGCTGAATCTGTCAGCATCGACGCAAGTTTAGTTTGTTCTTTCCGTTTTTTTGCAAGTGTAGGTGGATTGCTAATGAAGCACAATTCCTGGAAGCTGTGCAATGGCCAGAGCTGACTTTGGATTCTTTCAGTTCATGGGTTTGTCTGGATTTTTCATTTGCATAAATCGAAGGGGACCATACATACGGACAAGGCTGCTTTAAGCAGATTAAGATCTAGAGGACACTCTGTTGAGATCTATGCTTTTCTATGTTTCATCGGGGCTGGATTCTTCTTTTGGGAGAGTATCCCCTGTCCCTCATATTCCCAGTTGACTATTACTGGTTATTTCCGCCTCTTCTTGCTATTGCTTAGCAACTGAGTGGGATGGGATGATTGGCAGAAATTGTTTTAATGGCCTTATTTTTCCTTTTCAGGATTCTGGAGACAAAGCCAGCCCCTTCCTTAATATTTATTGCGACTACGAGCCCGGCTCTGAATATAATCTGGATTCTATTGCACGTGAGTTTTCTCTGCCCAACTTTGTTCTCCGATGCCATCTTTTGTCTTGTTTCTGCTTCCCTGGCTTCTTCGAGATTTTCTGAAGAGCCTTTTGAGAGCTGGATATAAGAAAAATAGCGAGAACATTCATGCAGTTGCTCCTGGGACAAATGTCTTCTTGTTATAAAAAAATATGACTTTTTTAAAGAATTGATTCCCTATGGCTACTGTTTTCCCGAGTGGAAAGAGACACTTAGATAGCTGCACCAACCAATAGAAGCCACGATGACTACAAGAACCAGCATGGAGCACTTTTTACCTTGCAATCAAGGTCAAGACTCCTGTAAGGACCCACCCCACTTTGCATCTTAAGAAGACAGAACTCTTGGAATAGTTCTTCCAACAGGCATCCTTTATTAAGAGAAAATGCTTGCAGGCATTCTAGACAGGACTTGGGGTCCAAGCTCTCCCATTCAAGGTTTTAAGGGGTTCCCCAGTAGCCCCACCTAATCACCCCCTACTTCCAGTGACAGTCTCAGGCATTACACTCCCACCCACTTTTCCTTACTGCCGGCTGGAGGGAGACTTCAGAGAGGAGTACATGAAAGGTAATAGCCCCATTGTTATGGTTAGTCCTTTTGGTGATATCCCCATCCAGTCCCTACTGAAGGAAGTGAGGGCCATAAAGCCCCTTTGCTCACCCCCTTCCCTTCATCGTATGACAGAATCCAGAGAAGGCAGAAATGGGGTTTTCTATAGTTGATAACTAGAGATGAAATATAATTGGATTCTGACAACTCTTTTTGCAGACAATTGGCTGGGTATATTTTTAAAAGAATATCTCAGAAATTGTACCTAGCTAGGATAATACTCAGTCCTTGACAGTGCAGTTTGAGGATGTTATCTCTCTCGGACACTTTCATAATCCCCAAACGTGATAAACCCCAATTGGGACATGAATTTCCATTGCTAAGCAAGGCAGTTGTTTAAGTGAGCCGGACCTGGTTTTATGATCTTTTTAAACCACGGTTAAGCCAATCCCTGCCGTTGGTAAATGAATCAGATGGTCATAGAATGAATCTGGCTTCCCTCGTTGACGTTGCTTGCTGGGAGCTGCTTGGGAAGGTCCCCTGTGGCAATCAAGTGACCCTGGGACGCTTCAACCCTTGGAAAATACAGGCTGCTTGTCAAGCACCTGAATTTTGATCACAAAATGTAAGGAATGCTGAGACAGTCGTAGGTGCGAAGAGTGGTTGTAAATCGCTTTTTCAGTGCTGTTGTGACTACGTATAGTTGTAAGTCAAGGACCGCCTGTCTTGCCCTCAGCTTGAGAATCATGCCTGTTTCTCATTGGTTCTTATGCACGTTAATTTTGTGCCTTTTCGTCCTTCACAGAAAGCTGCCTGAACCTGGAATTGCAGTTTACACCTTTCCAGCTGTACCACGCAGAGTACGTACCTCAACCAAGCGAGCAAACCTTTGGCCTTCGCCATTAGCCACCTTCCCCTGCGGGAAGTTAATGCGGCCGTATCTGTGCAGAAATTCCACACATCGGGGTTTTACTTGTCTTTTTAGGAACGGTGAAGAAGGAAGGGCAGAGAAGGCAGGACAGGGCAGGAGGGAGGGAGGAAATGGGAATGGAAAGAAGAAGAAGGCAGGACAACGAAGGAAGAAAACAGGAGAAGGAAGGAGAATGCAGGACAAGGGAGGGAGGGAGGACATAAGAATGGAAGGAAGAAGGAAGGAGAATTCAGGATGAGGGAGGGAGGGAGGAAGGAAATGGGAATGGAAGGAAGAAGAAGGCAGAACAAGGAAGGAAGGGCAGAGAAGGCAGGACAAGGCAGGAGGGAGGGAGGAAATGGGAATGGAAAGAAGAAGAAGGCAGGACAACGAAGGAAGAAAACAGGAGAAGGAAGGAGAATGCAGGACAAGGGAGGGAGGGAGGACATAAGAATGGAAGGAAGAAGGAAGGAGAATTCAGGATGAGGGAGGAAGGAAGGAAGGAAGGAAAGAAAGAAAGAAAGAAAGAAAGAAAGAAAGAAAGAAAGAAAGAAAGAAAGAAAGAAAGAAAGAAAATTGGTTGTTCCCCAGCAAATGATGTTCATGAACCTGGAGATGACTTAATGCTGTCATGACTAATAATTCAGGGAAAACATAAACGCTTTCTATATTTGTCTGCTTCCCTTTCTGAGCTAGCGGCTGTCAGCTGCCGTCAGGATGCTCCAGATCTCCACCCAGCTGACGAGTACACCTCCAAGAGTTTTCTAAATTAAAATAGTCGGAGGTGCACTGCCTCTCCAAAGTTGTTACTATGATTAAACTCTTCGATGAGCCAGTCCTTCATCCCTCATCGTGAGTCACTCACTACTTTAGCCACGTCTCCTCCGAGACGCTGCCGCACTCGAGAAGAGACAACGATCCGATCGGAAACCCGGGAGAACGACTTCTTTCCCTTCCTTTCTTTGCTCCGCGCTCATTGGAGCAGAGCCGGGGAGAGAGCAGGGCTCCTAAACCTACAGCCAGCCTCAAATAGATGTCCCGCACTCGGCCTAGTTGTAGGTGCTCAGCTTTGAAATCTAACCGCGTCCTTGGTTGTGGAACATTGCCTTAAATCAGTGTTTCTTAACCTTGACAATTTTAAGGCATGTGGACTTCAACTCCCAGAATTCCACAGCCAGCAATGCTGGCTGTGGAATTCTGGGAGTTGAAGTCCACATGCCTTAAACTTGTCAAGGTTGAGAAACACTGCCTTAAATGGATCTTCTGATTTGGTATAGGTAGCCCTCGACTTAACCACGGTCCAATTTGAAGTCACAATGGCTCTGGAAAAAATGGACTTGTGACATTTTTCACCCCTAGGACCGTTGCAGCATCGCCTGTGGTCACGTGATCCAAATTCAGATGCTTGGCTCATATTTTTGACAGTCGCAGTGTCCCCCGGGGTCAGGTCCTCCCCTTTTGCGACCTTGCAACAAGCAAATTTACTTAACAACTGGGTGACTAGCCCAGGAGTAGGCCACCTTGGCTCTTTTATGACTCGTGGACTTCAACTCCCAGAATTCCTGAGCCAGCCACGCTGAGGGGAAAGAGAGAGGTTTCCATGCTGAGCCATGCTTGCTCAGGAATTCCGGGAGTTGAAGTCCATGAGTCATAAAGCGGCCTAGGCCTAGGCCAGGGGTGGGCAACCTTGGCTCTTTTATGATTGGTGGACTTCAAGCCAGTATGGGGGAATTATGGCCCCCTCATGACTCATGGACTTCAACTCCCAGAATTCCTGAGCCAGCATGGCTCAGCTTGGAAACCTCCCTTTCCCCTCAGCGTGGCTGGCTCAGGAATTCTGGGAGTTGGTCCACGAGTCACAAAAGAGCCAAGGTTGCCTACCCCTGGGCTAGCTTAACAATTGCAGTGATTCACTTAACCACTCGGGCAAGAGAAAGGTCTCCTAAAAACGGGGCCAAACTCCCGTAACAAATGTCTCACTGAAGAACAGAAACGTTGGGCTCGGTTGCGGTCGTACGTTGAGGACCGCCTGTGTTTGAACGTGATGAATTCTCATTTGTGGCGGTGGGATTTCAAAATGGACATCTTTGACCTGCTCCTTTTGTTGGTGTAGAGTCCAGGTTGCCGACGGGGCGGAGACCGTCTTCCTTCTGAGCGGAAACGATCCCGCGATTCATCTTTACAAAGAGGTGAGGCCTCCGGATGGACGTTGCTTCTCGGGGCTTTCTAGCCGCTCGCCTCTATGGTGCCTCTGGAGTTTTCCTTTGGATCCTTTTTTTCCCCCAAAGAAATCCCAGCCTTCTACTGCCTTAACAAACGTCTCACTGAGCAACAGAAAAGGTGGGCTCAATTGTGGCCATAGGCTGAGGATTGCCTGTTCCTTCCTTCCTTCCTTCCTTCCTTCCTTCCTTCCTTCCTTTCTTCCTTCCTTCCTTCCTTCCTTCCTTCCTTCCTTTTTTTATTTTTATTTTTATTTCAGAATGAAGAGCTCCATCAATTTGAGGAGCAGCCAGTCGAGAATCTCTTTCCAGAGCTTAAGGAACTGCCAAGCAAGTAGGCAACCCTGTTTGTTGTTAAGGTGTGAGGTTGGGGCAGAATGGGGATTTAGAAAGAGGCCACAGGTCGGGACTTAATAATAATAATGGACTTCAACTTCCAGAATTCCAGCATGGCTCAGCATGGAAACCTCTCCCTTTCCCCTCAGGACGGCTGGCTCAGGAATTCTGGGAGTTGAAGTCCACGAGTCATAAAAGAGCCAAGGTTGCCTACCTCTGGCCTAGGCCTAGGCCTCTTTATGACTCATGGACTTCAACTCCCAGAATTCCTGAGCCAGCATGGCTCATCATGGAAACCTCTCCCTTTCCCCTCAGCACGGCTGGCTCAGGAATTCTGGGAGTTAAAGTCCACGAGTCATAAAAGAGCCAAGGTTGCCTACCCCTAGATTAGTGTGTCCCATTTTCCTCCCTCCTCATTCCCAATTTCCTCCTTCCCTTCCTCCTCCTCTTTTTTCTCCATCCCTTTTTCTTTCTCTTTCCATTCCTCCCTGCCTCCCTCCCTGCCCCCCCCCCCAAACCTTTCTCTCACGATCCTTCCTGCTTTGCAGCGTGCTCTGGCTTGACGTCTACAACATTCCCAATTCGGGGCAGCGGATTACCGCTTTTGGCTGCCAGAGCGGCTACATCCGGGTCGCTCAGGTTGAACCAGCCAAGCGGGGTAAGACCCCCTTCTCCCCCCCCCTTCCTCCGGGGCTGACCTCCGGGTCTTCCTCAAGGCTCAGACGGCAGCGTAGTAAATCAGGGACGGTTGGATCGATTGACTGGTGACCCAGTCTCTTCTTCCGGATTGAAGCGGTACTGCAGAGCTGGAGCATCCAACAAGATGGCCCCATCTCCAAGGTCCTGGTTTTTGCTCTGCCAAGCGTCAGCCAACCAGAGGACCCCTCTGGGGTTGTGTCTTCGAAAGGTGAGATCGGAAGGGAACGAGGAATGGGGGCTGAGAAGGAGGGTCTCCCCCTTGGTGGCCCATAGGAATCATGTAAACCAGGGGGTCTTCGAAGTTGGCACGCTGGCTGAGGAATTCTGGGAGTTGAAGTCCACAAGTCGTAAAAGGGCCAGGTTTGAAGACCCCTGATGTAAACCCTTATTCCAGTCTTTCTCCACCATGGCAACTTGAAGGGGGGTGGACTTCAACTCGCTGGCTGGGGAATTCTGGGAGTTGAAGTTGCTCAGGCTGACGCGTTAACTCAACCCAACTTCTCTGCTTTGTGATCCTTTGCAGATCCCCCAGGTAGCGCCAATCCCCACCCTCCAAGCTACAGCGTCCTCGTAACCAGCACTCTTGAACTCTCGGTGGTCTCCCGGTGAGTAAAGAAAGCAGAGTGGGAAATCTCTCTCAACCACCGGCCCCCTCTGCTTACTTAAGAGCTCATTTTCCTGGTCCCTTCTAGGAACGTGCTGCACAGTGGTCTGGAGGACCAGTTGGTCCTGCCCCTGAGCAACCAGTACGACAGCGTGCTCTGTGCCCTGGTGACAGATGTTGACTTTGATAGCGAACCTGAGATCCTTCTGGGCACCTACGGGCAGGTAAGAGGTTGGTCATGCCTGTCCTCGCGGACAAGGTGTGGCTGTTGGGGTTTATTTCCCAGTTAAATTACAGTGAAAAGCATTTTCATAGATAACTGGAGGGTTTTTTGGGGGGAAAAAACATCAATGGATTGAAGTTTGTTATAGCTAGCAATTCAGCCTTTCAAATATAGGCAGTCCTCAACTTACAACTGTTTGTTTAGCGACCGTTCAAAGTTAACAACATCACGAAGAAAAGTGAGTGATGAACCTTTTTCACACTTGACCCTCGCAACATCCCCTCGGTCATGTGATCACAAGACCCCGGGAGAGGGCGACCATCACAAGGGCCTGAGGTCAGATGCTTGGCAACTGACTCGTATTTATGACGGCTGCGGTGTCCCAGGGCCAGGTGATCCCCTTTTGCGACCTTCTGATAAGCAGAGTTGATGCGGAGGCCACTTAACAACCCTGTTGCTAACTTAACAAGGGCGGTGATTCGCTTAACGGTGGCAAGAAAGGTTAAAACGGGGCAAAACTCACAACAGCTGTCTCGCTTAGCAACGGAAATTTTGGATTTAATGGTGGCCGTAAGTCAAGGAGGACCTGTATTGTGGCCTATAGCTTTCAAAGACATAGAAGCTTGCGCACGGCTGAGAAACTGTGATTTAAAAGGAAATCCAGTCTACTGGCTGCCATGATTCCTTAATGAGAAGATCAGATGCCAGCAGCTTTTCGCTTCCACAACCATGAGGGATAGAAACTTGGTTTTTAAGAGTGCTGAGGTTCTAGAGATCTATGTCGATTTTATTTTTCCTTTCCTGCTTAGCAGCATTATGCAAACCCCTTGGTCTTCTAGGCGCGCTTATGCTACAAAGGTCTCTGTCTTGAGGGGATCAGATGCCAACGGCTGAAAATGTGTCTTTTTTCGCTTCCACCACCATGAGGGATAGAAGCTTGGTTTTTAAGAGAGTCTAGAGATCTCCGCTGGTTTTATTTTCCGTTTCATTACGCAACTTCCTCGGTCTTCTAGGAGCTTTTATGCTACAAATATCGGGCTGAAAACGCGGGGTTGGCGAGCACAGCGAGACACCGCTGTTTCCAACCGCCTTCTGGAGATTTCCATCTGCTCTGGCAGCGCAGCTTCCCCAGCCCTTTGTTATCCATGGACTACGTAGACCTGACCTGCGATGGCCTCTGTGAACTGGCCGTGGTGTGTCTGAAGGGGTTGCACGTGCTCCAGGTTTGTGTGCTAGGAGAAAGTTGGGGGGGAGTAAGAGAAGCACCTTCCGCAAAGCCCACCCAAGGGGCAGAACCAACGTTTACCAGAACATTCATTTTTCAAGTTACAAATAGCAGTCCTGCAAATCGTCTAGTCCAGAGTTCCCTGGCCTTCCTGGGGAAAGAAAGGGAGAGGTGGGCGCCTTTATGCGTGCATGTGCACACCACAAACGGAGCCGTGAGCGCACGGTGACGCTAGCGTTTATGCGATGCAGCAACACTAGCATTTATGCGAGTGGGGCTCGTGGCGATGCTAGCGTTTACGCGATACGAGTGCCCACACAACCCTTGCGGCAACGCTAGCATGTCAAACACAAGGCCCGGGGGTCGGATGCGGCCCGCGAAGTGGTTTCATGTGGCCCGCGAAGCCATCCTGGAAAAAGTGAGGGAACGGCCCCCGCTGCCTTAGCCCTGGCCAGCTGGGAGCCAATGTACAATTTTGTGGTGGCCCTCTCTGCTGAAACACATTCAGTCTTAGCTCCACAAGGCCGTCCGGAAACAGCGAGGAACCAGCCCCTGCCGTGTCGTCCCCGCCCCCTGGGTGCATGCTGGGGAGGGGTCACCCTTTGTGAGGAATGAAGAAATGCACCATTCCTTGGCGCTTGCCCCGGTCCCACCCCCTTCGGCCAGAGACCCTCAGATCTGTCCCACTCCTGCCCAGGCCCCCACAGGCTCCCTTGACGCAAACAATGTAGAGCTGGCCATGCCCACCCAGTAGGCCACACACACTCCATCCACGCCCACCCAGTAGGCCACACCCACCCTGGCCACACCCACTCAACCCCCTGAGGGCAATCGCAATGCTGGTGTGGCCCTCAATGAAATTGAGTTTGACACCCCTGATTTATGTGATGTGAGCGCCGTGCGACGCTCACGGCGATGCTAGCGAGGGCGGGATGAGTGCACACACGCGCCCTGGCCAGCCACTCATGCGGCCCGGTGGCCAATAGGCCACGGCCCACAGGAGGTGGGAGACCCCTGTCCTAGTCCGTTTTCGCTTTTCCTTTCCTTTAACTGCTTCTTCCCCCTCCATACAGCATAGCCTGACGGACGTCCTCCAGTGCCTTTTAGAGCGCCTCCGATTGGAAGCGACAAGCCGGGCGTCCCATCTGAATGTGTCCGTGCAGGACCCAGATTCCAGGGTTGAGGATATGGATGGCCAAGGACCCGGAGCGTGAGGTGCTGGCTGGGCCCTCTCACGTGCTCTTCTCATCTGCAAGAAAGGAGGAAATGGAATCGGGAGCGGAATCTCATCTCAAGGATTCTCCCGGCCTTCTGCAGAGTTCCAGAAGCAGCGTGGAAATTTAAATAAGCGGGTGGGAAAGGCAGGGAGAGCACCAGTCCCTTCCCATGTTACTTGACTGGCATAAACTGCAGCCAATCGGAAAGGTGACGTGCCTCAACACAGGAAGTGCTCCGTGGCCAGCGAAGTTTAGTAACTTTTTTTTTCTGTGCCTCCAAAGGGGGGGGTGGCTACCCCGAATGACTGCGCCCATCATAAATATAAAATAAAAAAATTATAGGATGAGTGGGGTCTGCTCTCTGTCAGGACAGATATCTGGAACGGCAAGACGGATACGGTTCCTAAGTTACTAGATCTCAGCGTCCTTTCTGTTTACCTGGCAGTTCCCCACAGCTTCTGAGGACCAGGGCCCCTTAATCTTGCAACAGAACGGAAGGAAAGTATTAAAGGGTGATAATAAGAGGCAAGGAAGCACATCACTCCAGGCCTTTGGCTGCCCAGAGTCCCCTTATTGCCGTCGTCCGAAGTCTGAGACATTTGGCCCCACAGAATTGCTTCTTCCTTACCCCCTTCCTTACTCCTGGCCTTCCCCCCCCCCTCATTTGTCCCCTTCTAAACCGATAACTCTGGGAAAGGAAGGAATCCAGCAGAAAGCCATTGGACGCCATATCGGCTCACAAGATGTATGCGTTCTACCCTGGCGGTGACTTGAACTCAGTTCTTGCTTGGCAGCTACTTGGAAGCGTCGGATGTTTTGAATCGAGCTAGAACTAAGGAGCAATTTCCTGAAAGAGAGAGCAATTCATCAGTGGAACAGCCTGCCTCCAGAAGCGGTGGGTGCTCCCACGCTGCAGGTTTTTAAGGAGAGACGGGACAGGCATTTGTCTGAAATGTTACATGCTCTCCTGCTTGAGCAGGGGGTTGGACTAGAAGACCTCCAAGGTCCCTTCCAACTCTGCTCTTCTGTTGTCCCGGCTTTTTGTCCAGGCAGAGTTTTTAATAAAGGAAGGAGCCTCTTCTTTCAGCCCTGGAGCCAGGAGCAGCAACAGTTGAGGTATTTCTATCTTTGACCCTTTTGAAGGAAGAGGCAGCCCCGTGGGCTTGCGAGTCAACGACCTCCTTCAAGTCTGTCAATTCAGCACTCTGCCTTGTACGTTTAGATCAGGGTAGGCCACCTTGGCTCATTTATGACTGGTGGACTTCAACTCCCAGAATTCCTGAGCCAGCATGAGGGAAACTTTGGCCCCTTCATCACTCGTGGACTTCAGCTCCCAGAATTCCTGAGCCAGTATGGATCAGCTTGGAAACCTCTCCCTTTCCCCTCAGCATAGGCTGGCTCAGGAATTCTGGGAGTTGAAGTCCACGCATCTCCGAGTGGCCAAGGTTGAGAAATACAGGCCTAGACCAGGGGGAGGCAACCTTGGTTCTTTTATGACTCATGGACTTCAACTCCCAGAATTCCTCAGCCAGCATGAGGGAAACTTTGGCCCCTTCATGACTCGTGGACTTCAACTCCCAGAGTTCCTCAGCCAGCATGAGGGAAACTTTGCCCCCCTTATGACTGGTGGACTTCAACTCCCAGAATTCCTCAGCCAGCCTGGCTCAGCATGGAAACCTCTCCCTTTCCCCTCAGCACGGCTGGCTCAGGAATTCTGGGAGTTGAAGTCCACCAGTCATAAAAGAGCCGAGGTTGCCTACCCCTGGTTTAGATGGTGTTTGATGCTAATGGGGGAGGCTGTGGGGTGCCATTGCTCTTCTCCACACCAACATCTCCAGATTCTGGCTTTCGTCCTCCTCCTCCTCCACAAACCCCACCCTATTCTAACGCTGATGTTGTTGTTACCTAGCTGGGTCATGAAACATCTGCAAGAAAACAACCAAGCCCAGAGAACAGCAAGGATAGCACAATCCTCTTCCTCCTCCTCCTCTTCCCCCTCCTCCCCTTCCCCCCCCCCCTCCGCATGGTGATAAAGCTGTCTCTCTTCCAGAATTTGCTGGCAAATTAGAACAGATGGCTTGGAAGAAAGAGGATGGATGAAGTGTGCAGCATGGTAATTAGGAAGGGGTTTGTGGTTTCTTAAGCCTGCTGGGAAGGGGGGGGGGAGAGACGCTGGAGCCAGGAAGCCACATGGCGTCTCCCTGGCCCACACAAGGTGCGGTTGTCTTCACCTGTAGGAAGTGTGTGCCGTTCAGACGCCTGGGCCTAAGGCGAGGGAAATCACTTGACGACTGCGAAGGAGGTGGAGTCAAGAGTTCCTTGCATCGCATAAGTCACAACAGAGTGGCTCATGGGGATGGAGGTGTATATGTATGTGTGCGTGTGGGCGTGCGAGTGCCTCAGACTGTTGACATCCAGGAATCAAATTTGACGAGGGCCGGAGCCAGGTTCTGCTGATCTGCATCCCGAGCGGCTTCTTCAAGCCAGGGTCAGGGGTTCCCCCTTGCAGAAAAGGCCTCCCCCCCTCAAGATGGGTAGGGAGGCTAGAGAACTGGTCCTTCTTAGGAGCCCGTGAAAGAGACCAGGCGTGTGGATCTTGGTAAAGAGATTAAGGGATCTGTGAGGATAGATTGCCGGTGCTGAACAGCTGTTCTTGCAGGGAAAAAAATGGAGGAGGGGATCACGGGCGGCTCTTGAAAACAGCTGGAAAAGCCGAGAATGGAGATTGCAGATCAAGGGGACTAGCTAGGTAAATAATGGAGAAGGCATTTTGAGTTGCTTCGGGAGGGATCGGCCTGCCTCAAGAGGCGATGGATTCTCCCTTGGTTTAAGACATTTAATCAGAAGCAGGGAAAGACGTTCAGAGACAGTCCTCGCTTAACAGCCATTTGAAGTTGCGGCGAATCAATCTTCCCCCCCCCCGTAAGATACTCAACAACCCTATTTTGAAATTCTAACAGCTGCACACATGTATGCGCACCCCTGCAGCCACACCGCATTTTGGGCGCCTGGCAGCCAGCTTGCATGGACTGCAGAGTCCTGCACTTTCTGGGTATAATGGATCACTGTGGCTAACTCCACCTTCGCTTAACCTCTGCCAGAGTCACAAAATTGGCCGTGGTCAGGTGACCCACTTAACGACCAGCACGGCATATAAAAATCCCAGGCTTAAAATTACAGTCACAAGTCGAGGGTGTCCTATAATTGAGGATTGTGTGCTTCCCTTCTAAGGGAAAGCAGTTTCCTACTCTTGATGGACTTCCGAGAGATTCGTGTTTTCTTGTTTATCCAGTCCTTTGCTCAAGAAAAAGTTCTCCGTTTTACAGTCTCCCAAATACCTGGGGCCAATTTGGAGAATTTCCAGCCGTTATGCAGCATAGCTAGGAACCCTGGAATTTCAGACCTATCTGGAAGGAACGTATCCACCCACAATCCCCATTTTAAAGATGTTTGGGGTGTTGGTGGCGAGATCCCTTTTTTTATGTATATAATATTTTATTATTTTTCCAATTTTACATTTGAGTATTTAAAAAGCAACATGGTGACTGGGTTAATCAATAATTCCATAACAAACTCTTTAGTGCAAATCTCAGGTTACAACAACAGATATTCCTTCTCTTTTTCTCTTCACATTTACTATCTCTTATTCAGGCTAGTACATTGGTTCTCAACCTGGGGGTCGGGACCCCATTTGGGGTCGAACGACCATTTCACAGGGGTTGCCAAACAACGCAGTCTGCCATTTTTCCCCCCTTTTCCTTAGCTGTGCTACTCCCTTTTATTCTATTGGCTTTTGAAAGCCAATCGAATAGACTCTCTTGAATAGAGTCTAATTCTATTGGCTTTCAAAAGCCAATCGGAATTGTCCAGGCTGTCTCTGCCCTGCTGAGCCCGCCAAAAGTCCCATTCTGCAAACGGTGCTGCACCAGTTGAGTAGTCCTCGACTTACGACCGGTTGAGTCGTCCTCGACTTACGACCGGTTGGGGGTCGCGGCATGAAAAAGGTTGAGAACCACTGGGCTAGTACATTTCTAATTATATCAACTCAAGATCCCTTTTTCTCAACTCACCTCAGGCTGGGTTGCTGGTGTGGGGGTAATAGGAGGAGAAAGGAGTATAGGTAGCCCTTACAACAGTTCATTTAGTGACCGCAGTTGCAACGGCACAGAAAAAAAGTGACTTACGACTCACACTTACAACCGTTGCGGCATTTCCCTCATGGTCACGTGATCAAAAGCCAGACGCTTGGCAACTGAACTCCTGTTTACGACAGTTGCAGCGTCCCGGGATCACGTGATTTCCACCCTCCCCCCCACCTCATTTGGCCAGCTTCTGACCAGCAAAGTCAATGGGGAAGAAGCCAGATCCGCTTAGCCGTGTTACTAACTGCGCAGCTGCGGTTAATTCCCCTAATCCAGTGGTTCTCAACCTTTTTAATGCTGCGACCCCCCAACCGTTCGTAAGTCGAGGACTACTCAACCGGTCGTAAGTCGAGGACTACTCAACTGGTGCAGCACCATTTGCAGAATGGGACTTTTGGCGGGCTCAGCAGGGCAGAGACAGCCTGGACAATTCCTATTGGCTTTTGAAAGCCAATAGAATTAGACTCTATTCAAGAGAGTCTATTCGATTGGCTTTCAAAAGCCAATAGAATAAAAGGGAGTAGCACAGCTAAGGAAAAGGGGGAAAAAAATGGCGGACTGCGTTGTTTGGCGACCCCCGTGAAATGGTCGTTCGACCCCAACTGGGGTCCCGACCCACAGATGGAGAACCACTGCCTTAATCGCAAGGAGAAAGATTGTAAAAACAGGGCGAAGCTCCCTCAACAAAGGTCTCGTTTTACGACCGATGTGGGGCTCCGTCACGGCCGTAAAGTCGGGGACGGAGGCTCGTACGAGGAACGTCCGCTGCCTTGAGTTACCTCTAAAAGTAACAAAAGGCAGGATTTTTTTTTTTAAAAAAAATCTAATAAATAATTTATTCCCGGGGGGGAGGGGGGGAAGCGAGCTAGCATTGGATCTGGGATCGAGTCCTGCATCCAGTTTTGGGTCAAAATGCAACCTTTTTGGCCTGAGTTGTGTTTTTTTTTTTTTCCCCTTTCCCCTGAATGAGCTGGGGAAGAATTGAGCATGAAATATAAAATGGGCCAATTTGAGGGCAGGAAATAAAATGCAACCCCGCCCGGGCCCACCGTCCGAGTCGGGGAGCTGTCCACCGTGGCCCGGTGCTGAAACGGCTCTCCCGCCTGTGGGCGAGATGGCGCGTCTCGGAGGGGCAAGTGGGGAGAAGTGGGGAATTAACCCTTTAGGTCGCGCCTCTCCTTCCATGGCATTCCGGACCCTGCAGCTTTTGGGTAGCCGTTATCCGAGGACCCCCCCCCCAATACTTATAGATTCAGCCTCCCGCTACTGGAGATGATGGGGCTTGTAGTTCCCCCCACCTTTTGCTGGGCGCCTTCTTGGTCCCGCTTCAATTTGTTCAATGCCCGGCGTTGGGGGGGGGGGCGCTGGCTCCCTCCCCTTCCCCGCCGCCCATCCCTCCTCTTCCTCCTCCTCTTCCTCCTCCAGCCAGCCCCTCCCTCCCTCCAGCCCTCGCCGCCTCCCCCAGAGGCGGACTCTCTCGGCTGCGAGCGAGGCACGCGGGCGGGCGGCAGGCGGGCTGGCTGGCTGGCTGGGGCCGCTTCTCTGCCAGCGGCCGCTCTCCCGGGGCTCCTGTCCTGGGGTCCCCCCTCCCGCCTTGCCGGCCGCCCCGCCTTAGCCACCCACCCGGGAGTCCGCATGGCTAGCAAGTGACCGGCTCGGCTCAGCCATCACGGAGGAGGAGGAGGAGGAGGAGGAGGAAGGGGCTTGGAAGGTAGGTGGTGGTCGCAGCTGTTTGGGTGGGTGGGGGATCGATCCCACTTCCCGGAGCTGACCGTTGGGGCGCCCTCCCCGCCCGTGCTCCGGCTCCTTGGCACCCCTCCACCCCAACCCCGCCGCTTGATGCCAGCTCCATATTCCCCAGCCCTGTTGGGGGTCCCGCTCCGACCCCAGCCGGGGCTCCCCCCGTCTCCTGCTGGGGGATCCCCGCCCTGGCTAACAGCGGCGGCGGGGGGGGGGGCGGTAGAGCGGATGGCT